CATTTTCTTTTAAATCTGTGCAGATGGCTAATAAGAAGTGGATCATTTAGACCGCAGCCAGTCCTATATCATATTTAATTTGTGTGCTATCACTAATGACAGTTTTAATTACCCATCTGGGGTAAATAGCAGCCCTCCCTGTTTCCTTAAAGTGCTTAATTACCTCCTCCATGCAGTACTCGTACACAAGGTACACAGCTGACAGCCAAGTCACTGCAAAGTTGTACTGTAAGCAAACAAACCTCTAATGAACCATGGACTATCCTAATGCATGCTGTGAGGTGAGGTAGTAGTAAGATATTGGAATCATGATGTTTTCTTTTTTTGTTTAACAAGGCACTTTGCATTTTTGCCTCCTGTGCAGAGCTTACATGGCTAATTGTCTTGTTTGTGCAACTGTATGTACATTTTTGTCATTATAGTTTTAACAAAATAACTCAAAAAAACTAAAAAAGCAGATACACATAAAAGTATGTCCGCCACCTGCTTGTCTCATGGAGATGTTACTACTATTTACTACAGAGCTTCTAAACTTTTTAATTTAAAGGTGCATTGTGTAACTTTTCTGGTGGAGGGTCTGTGAAATGCTTTTTTCTGTGGCGATGTTATTGCTTTGTCTGGAATTCTTCACAGTATAGTATTTAACCTTTGTTCTTTCTTCATGGAAACCAATCCGACCAAGTTATAAGTCAGATCTGTGGTGAGGCGACCTCGCTCAGTCAGAATGCCTGTTTTTGTTTTTGTAGGTGAGCAATAAATGTAAGGTAAAGCTGTTTAATGTCATACTGTGAAACATTCCAGGCAGAGCAGTGACATATCCAAGCAGGTGATAGACACAATGCACCTTTAGTTTAGCTGTTTTTGTTCTTGAATTCTTGCAGGACTTCTCACCAAACCTACACACATTAGTTAAAACAGTGTAGTGCCATGGTCTGTAAAATCATTTTAGTGAGTCTGTCACTTCTTCACTCAAAGCCGTCTTTCTTGTGAGTACTTTCCCTAAGCCAAATCTGTGTCCCTGAGTGCCAGAAACTATTCTCTCCAAAATGGCAGAAATAGTCACAGAAGCTGGCGCTCTGAAATATAGGGGATAAACATGTAAAAGAGCACAAACAATTTTAGGTCACACAATATGGCAAAGTGGAAGTTCTTTTTTGTAATTATAGTTCACTAAAACACTAAACCATGATCTGTGTGAATAATAGTTCATCATATCATTGTGTTAGGGCCAAGAGATAGTACATGTATTAAAACATTAAATTGGGCAAATTTTTTGGCAATGTTTGGCATTTTTTTGTAAAATCATCATTCCAAAATTCTTTGCGGCTTAAACACAGACAGTATTCCCAATTTAGTCATCTTATTAGTCAGCTTTTGTGATGCTCTGTGTCTGGATGAGTGATTGGGGGATTTAACTAATCACAGTAAATTTAGATTTAGCCAGTCACGGTAAAGTATGAATTTTCAGACAGTTGATATCTTTAGTTATCTCCAGATACAAGTGTGCATGGATTGTGATCAAATCTAACTTAAAAAAGTCATATGTCCCAACAAATACAGTATACATTAAGAAATAAACGTCTTCTACGTTAATAAGTGAATCAAGACTTTCCACAAACGCTGCTTTTGGCTTTTCACTGTGTGAAGCAAAATTACAGCAGTGTTAGAAGTACTATTGTCACATTATTAGAATTTTTACACTGGATTTCAACCATAACCATGACCTTAAAATGCGGCTTTTAACTGGGTCTTTTTGAGCAATAAAAATGAATTGAAGTAAATGTTATATAGATATATTTAATGCCATACTGCAGAACATTCTAAGCAAACAATCAAGAAAGTTACGCAATGCATCTTTAAGTTAAAAAAAATACCTTTACATCAGTGTATTTATTATTATTATTTTTCGGCTGAAATCGAGACAGTCCTAAGAAGGCCATCTGTTTTAGCTTCAGTTCCTGCTCAAAGTTGCTCTTGTTATTATAGTATTGCGTAATATCTGAGTTTTTTTTTTTTTTACTACAAAGTATTGAATCTGTCTTATGTTGACCTGGTCAAATATTAGCCTACTTTCATCTTGACTTAGTCCTGAGTTAGTCTTTTGGCCCTCTTGTCAGTGTAGTCCAGGTTTAGTCTAAGTTTACCTGCAACTTTCATTGTTTTGTTGTTGAACTTTTTTTTTAACTCATCTTCCAAAATATGTTCAAAATTACATTGTTACTCCCATCTTTCCTATTTTCTTGTGACTTATTTTATAGAAGACATAGTTTGGTAGCCACACACTGTACGGTCCGGTCTTTCCCCCACCATAACCACATTACATTTTATATATTGTGCGCTGAAAAATATCCTCTTGGTTTGGCAGATAGCAATAGAGCAAAGGTAAAGCATTTCCTGAACTGCAGAACTCAATATCCGGCCAGTGTACGGACCCCCAGCCCGGCTCTCTGTTACAGTGGGCACAAATTGAAGCCATGAAAAGTGTCTGTCTTTATTACAGCATAGACTCAGAGCAAGGTCATCCTCTGCATCTCTGATAGAAGCAGGTTTTCTACAAGGCTTACGTAACTGTCTTTTCTGTGTGTTTCAATAGATACAAAGCCACAGGTGGGTGACTCGGATAGAAGCTGTAGTTTCATACAAAGGAGGCAAAGTTTACATGTATATAGTGGCTCTAGTGAGTTTAACAATGACAGAAGATTGTAATGGAATAAAAGGATTGCCATGTTGTAGGGCTTTAGTCCATTAATCATGATCGTGATGGTGTCGTAGTTCAGTAGTTCTCAAGGTTGGGTCTGTTTGTTTTCATAATCCATAACATTGAATTGAATACTACAATTTCTTATGATATACAGTCCCATACAAACAATGTTTTGATGGAAACAACAACATCAATGAAATACTAGTAAATACTACGCAAAATTAATCTTTCATCCAAATCTGGTTATGAACATGGTTTGAACTTTTGAATTATATATTTTATTATACCATTGGAACACTCTGCCCCTCCATGTTCAAACAGCCCCCAAAGTGGAGAATTTTAAGCCTCGTCTTAAGACCCACTTTTATTCTCTGGCTTTTAACACTGCAAGAGTTGTGTGATCCTCTCTTATTTATTTTATTTATTTTAATGCATTTTATTGGTTTTATTTATCTATTGCTATTCTATGATTTTGCTTTTATTTTATTTTACTGGTTTTATTACAGTATTTTCCGAGCTATTAGGCGCGCTCTTAAGCCTCCAACCCCATCAAAAAACTACTCCAGAGCGCCCTATACACGAATCCACTCTGGTGTCCCAGCAAGACTTCAGTAAACTACAAAAAACCCGCACCTCCCGCAGAGCACGCAAACACACACAGAGCAGACAGCAACCACGCAGCAGAAAACACCCACAGCCTCAACACTCCACGCCGACGAGGAACGACCGAGTGCGATGTGCCACTTCTAGACACAACTGAACAACTGAGTCACTGCGAACACGTCAACAATCCAGCGGTCCCAGACAGCACCCTCCCTACACGTCACAACTGAACAAAGCCCAGAGTCTCCATGAACGCACCAAACAAAGTCCCACTGACCCATCCAACTGTTGTGTTTCGTTTAAAGTCTGGTGCGGTTTATTTGTGAAAAAAGTTCTAAAATAGACCATTTAATGAAAATATGATATTTTAAGACTAGTATGATTAAATCTGAGTGTTTATTTTATCATTTTATTATTATTGTTATTATTATTTATTTGTGCAGCACTTTGGAAACTGTTTGTTCGTGAAATGTGCTATAGAAATTGGATTGGATTGGATTATGGGGACTGATGGGGGTCCTGGGCATATTTTCTTACCATTAAGTACTTCCTAGCCTCAAAAAGTTTGAGAACACTTTTCTTAGTCGACCGACATTTAATAGTCAATTAATAATTTAATTTAATGGGATGTTTATGGGACAACAGCAGAATGGAAAAACTTTAGGGCCTGTTTACACGAGAACGCTTGCGAGTAAAAACGACAAAATATTTTCTTGGAATGTCTTTCGTTTAGATGGTGACAGCATTTTTGGGGCTTAAAAATGCAAAAATCTGAAACCACCCTCCAGAGTGGAAAAGTTGAATACCGTCATCATCTAAACGTAGCCTTAGTGAGTGAATTAGCTGAAAATTTGGTATTATTTTGTATTTCTATGTAAAATTATTCACATGTTTAATCCGTCTTCCTGTCAATCCATTGTTTCCTGGTCCTTTTTTGCATAAATAGTTGTTTTTTGTATGACCTCCTGTGCAGGTGTGGTCTTGTGAGTGCAGTTTGGGTCAGATACATAGAAACGTTTGCCATATTCCCTTTTTTCGTCGACTTAATCAATCATCAGGGCATGTCTTTAGTTGGCCAAGAATTTCTTTAGTAATCAGTAACCAATCAAATACGAATTAAACAGGAATAAGTAGGTATATTTTAATGTCCCTGTAGGGAAATCTGTCCCCTCCATTTAACCCATCCTTCAATGCCACTGGGGCAGCCTGGCAGGAGCACTGGACTCAACTTTAGATCTTGAATGGGGCTTAGTCAGTACTATCTCTAGGCTTAGTATCATAGTTGGAGGATTATTTACTGTGCATGTTATAAGATGTTTTCTGTTGAGTTTAAATAAATCATGAACTATGTTGAAAACAGAACTTGGATCAGGAATTCATCAGGTCCAAGTGCGAAATACCCTGATTAAACAAACCTAGAAGGGGAATGGAGGTTTGATCCTAGCTCCTACCGCCCTCGCTCACTTTACCCACCGTGCATGTGTATAACTACAGGTGGTCAGAGAGTTCAAGGCTCAGATTGGCAGCCTTGCTTCTCCCAGACTTCCCCAGGGCAGCTGTGGCTAGAGTATAGGGAGTGAAGACATGCACATATACATTATTATTATCTTTATTACATTTTATTACATTTGAGAATTGCTTATCTTGGCTTAAAGTTCAGTCCGGAAGTGTTCAAATCTGTCTTGTTCTGTTTCAGGAATGTCCCAGTGGAGTGGTCAATGAGGAGACTTTTAAAGACATCTACTCGCAGTTCTTCCCACAAGGAGGTTAGTATCATGTTGTGGAGCTCGCATTACATCTAACTACTCTTACTACTCTGCGTGGATCACATTTCCCAGCAGTGTTTTTCTCTCATCCTCTTGTACAGTACAAGTCCTGCACGTAAGCACCGAATATGAACATTATGTAGAATGGCCCAATTAACTTTTATTATTTTTATTACAGTATATTCATGGGCACTTATTTTTTATTTTACTACAACAAAGTTTATGTTTTAGCTGACATAAAGTTGGAAATATTGTTTCCAAGTAGAACTGAATGTTATATACTTCATCAGAGAGAATACACAATATACAATTTTGGATTTAGTTGTTTTATATCAATATTGTGATTTAAAATAACACACGCAATATTGCTGATCAATACCTGTTTACACTGTCACCAGCAAACACCCACTGCTCTCTAGTTACTTTATTCTCCAGTTTTATTTTCTTAATTGCTGATACCCATAGGATTCAGAAGTTTGCATAGTCATTTTGGTACAAATGGAAATGAAAAAGCGAATAGGAGATGTAGACAGCGGCACACCTCTTTGTTGTGATGATGTTTATGGTGACGTCAGCTCCAATTGGGCACTACAATCACTACAATTTTGTAACGCTAAAGTAAGCCGACCTGTCATTTTACGTGAATATTGAGATCTAAAATGTGCAGATTATGACACAAAGATCCCTGGGTGTCATAGACGGTAACTATATAGCAGACTCAAGCACAAAAGGTCTTCTGTAAAATGTCTAAAATATAAAATAATGATCCCTGTGTGTCATAGATTATAATTATATACCAGACAAAAGCATTTCATGTCTTCTTTGAAATGTAAAATGAAATACTGCTATAAAGTGTTGTTTTTTTTTTCACATTTTCCATAGTAACAAGAGGTCCTGTACGTAGTAGCTGATTCATCTTGGCGTCTCTGATTATAATGAACACATCCAAGCCTAGAACACCTTTGATATCTGCTCAGGGTACAAAGACTCAGCAGCAGTTCAAGTAATGGCCTTAGAAACAGCAGTACAAGTCTTAGCTCTCAGCATTCTACATTTACATGAAACAAGATTTTTTTTTTTAGTCTTTTGAACTCGTAAAAGATGCTCCAAAGTGCTCTTATGTGTTTGTACGTGTGATGGGTGCTTAAACTAACCCCTCCTGTTCATTCTCCCATAGATGCGTCGACATATGCACACTTCCTGTTCAATGCATTTGACACAGACCACAACGGATCTGTGAGTTTTGAGGTAAGTGGGTTTCACACTGAAGACAAGACTTTTGTGGGAATTACAAGTTACGTGTTAATTATGAACAATTGATTTCTTTTTTAGTAAGTGCTGTTGAATTTATCAAATGAATAATTTGTAATTGTCAATAATATGCTTGGGTCTACAGAGGTCCACAGCCAATCATATGTCAGTAAAAGTATGTGGTAGCTACTTGTTTTGCCTTTGCTTGAAGGTGCTGTACTTGATTTTTATGGTCTTACAAACAGGAAAACTAAACTAGATCTTTTTAAATGGTTTCCAGTGGCCCAAAGTTATTCCCCACCTACCTTAACCCTCTCCAGGCAGGTGTTGCAGATTTGCAACAGCTAAATTCCAATTACCTACTTACTCCACATCCATATTTTATGAGCTTTTTTTACTCAGGAGCCTTTTTTCCCATCCATGCTGATAAACGTGGACGATGCAGACTGTGCAAGAATGGCTACACGCAAACGGCCTGCCAAAGTGCAAAATACTTTTTTTGTTTACAAAGGATAAAAAAGTCAGGATTGTATATTACTACCCCATATTATAATTTTCCCCAAATATCAGATTTTTCCTGATACTAAAAATTAATTTGAGCCTGAGAGGGTTAAGCATACCAACCAGGGAAAGGTTTTGCGACTGTACACTTAACAACTAGCATTGTAAATCATACTCCCAGATTATCGGACAATAAAATTTGATGCAGACAGCAGGCTGTGGACATATAATGACCTTAAAACATTGTTTCCCAAAGACTAGGTCACAACCCTCAGGTGATCTGCGTGTTACGCTCTCCTCCTGCACCCCAGGCTGGAACGCATTACAAAAACGCAGACAGGCCCACCTATCTCATTAGAAATGTTGAAATCTTAAGACATGTTTTGTATAATTTCTAAACTTTTTGTAAATATTTTACTGACTATTTTGTTCCAATATTGCTGGTTCAATTGAATGTTGAAAAGAAAAAGAAATGGGCTACATTTAATGTCCAAATATGCTACTTGGATATGACACCTTTTATTGCTGTTTTATTGTTATGATATATTTCAGAGAGACAGACACACTCAGTCAACAATAAAATATACTCATTAATGTTCAATAATGGTCAAATCCACCTTTATTTTGTGATTTACAAATAATGTCTATCGACTTGGGTTGTGAAGGTTTGTGACTTTTAAAATATGGTTCCCCAGAAAAAAAGTTTGAGAAACACTGCCTGAAAAGATGCTTATGCAGCATATCTGTGCAGGGACAAAACAAAATTTAGCTCAAATATATGAGAAAAAACAGGTACAGAATATTAAATAGCACATAGTATGAAAAGATTTTATATTAATTTTAAATCCAGCGCTAAAAATGTATCATTATCAATCTGCTGTGGTCATTTATCATAATCTAGATCTACATTTATACTCTGAGTTGAAAATGTGTGTGTTGCATGGAGAGTCCATCCTCAGACACAGACCACAGAGAGTCTGAACTTTGTCAGTCTTTGATTTTGAACTAAACATATCTTACATGAATGCACACACAAATGTTTTCTAAGTCTGTGCACGCATCAAAACATGTAGCCGGTTGGATTATCAGTTGCTCATTCTTTCATGTAATTGATTTTGATTTGATTCATTTTGGTGGTTACTTCATTCATATATAACTCACTGAATGTCAAAGGATTGTGTACGGGTTCAGTATTTCCATGTCTCATATGTACAGAATATTTAGGGGAAAGTCGCCCTGCGTGCCCATATTTTGCGTAAATCTAAAATGACACATCAAACACATTTCTAATCTACCCTCATCCACCCTGAGGCGCCATGATGCCAGTGTCTTATGTAATCCGTAACCCCAATCATTTTAATTTCTCTGCAAGCTCAGTCCAAATAAATCAACTCGATAAATATGTATAAGGAGCGTATTTGCTTATTAGGCCAGTAAAGCTGTCATTACTTTAAACCAGGGCTCTTGTTGTTACTGTGAAGTGTGCAGACTCCCTAGGGGCCCACAAAGATTATGAGTCGCCTAATCATTTGAATAATGAGGTATCAAGATTTATGATGTTTGAGCCATGCCTGGTTTATCAGGGTTATGAGTAATGCCATTGCAGTACACTTCTGATATATGGAGAAAGCCGAAGTCTGTTAAAATATGTATAATTAAAAAGCATGTGACGGATTACACTGCACTTTTCATTAAAACATAGTTACAGTAATTGTATTCAAAGGACACATATTGTGCTGTTTTCTGATCTACATTATAATGTTGCAATGTTATAATGTTAAACACAACTCCAGGTATGTTTTTGAGTAGGTAACAGCGTTCCAGCATGACTAAAAGCTCACATGTCATTTTGCTAATAATAATACTTTTTTTTTTTTTCTGTATCTCATAATATTAACAATGGCCAAATTACACAATAACTATTATTTGACAAATACATGAAGGTTTAAAGTGTCATATAAAAGGCTTTCCTTGAGTATAAATTCTCTCTCTCTTTTGATATAGTTTTCAGAGTTGATAACATAAGCAGAGGTATTCTGTTTTAGAACTCACAGCTACTTCCTGCATTTTTGTACTTTTGTGCTTTGTCCATTCAGGATTTCGTCATGGGCCTCTCTATTCTTCTGAGGGGCACTGTGCAGGAGAAACTGAACTGGGCCTTCAATCTGTATGATATCAATAAAGATGGCTACATCACTAAAGAGGTACAGCGTTTCTGAAGGCAAAATCACAGTGTGATTCCCTGGAAATAGAATAAAGCCATAATTTAGTAGATTTTAAATATGTATGCAAATATGTACTTTTTATGCCATCCTGTGGAATATTGGAGCCATCAGAACATTTGCATGGGAACAAGGCTTCTCCGTGCCAAATAAGAGTCTGTTTTATGGAGATATAAGCGTATGGTGGTTTATGCAATAAACACATCCATAATGAAAAACAGGATTTTATATTAATTTATTTTGGGGCACAAGTTGCATACTGGGGTTTTAAACTTTTTCACTAGATTATTTTTCTATTTGGTGAAGTTTGTTGGCAGCAGCGACCAAGTTTTTCTTCATGTTTTATCAAGAGAAATTAAAATGTAGTTATTATAAAATGTTGAAATAATTTTTGTGAAACAGTATTTGGGTCCAAAATCATTTTAAGGATTTTTCTGACAAATTGTTAATTCAAGTTAGCTTTAAAAGGAGGCACTAAGTAAACAGATAACTGTTCTCTAATCAAAACACTTATTTAATTATTTAGGAACTTCTCTGAGCATATCTGTATTGATGTGGTGTTGTAGGAGATGTTGGACATTATGAAGGCCATCTACGACATGATGGGCAAGTGCACATACCCCGTCCTCAAAGAAGAGACGCCTCGCCAGCACGTAGAGGTTTTCTTTCAGGTAACTGAGGACACATATTCCTTTTTATCTGAAAGACATAATCAGCTTCTAATCTTCAGTGTTCTGTTTTCTCACAGAAGATGGATAAGAATAAAGATGGAGTGGTAACCATAGATGAATTTATTGACTGCTGCCAAAATGTGAGTATTGAAGTCCATTTAAAGAGCTTTTGTCTGTCTAGCCCAAGGCAGCTGTGGCCACACAAGTATCTTACCACCACTGAGTATGGAGTGAATGAATAATGACTGCAGTAGGGTTTTCAACACTATCTAAAACCTCATACTAATCAATACTAAAACTAATACCAAAACTAGATGCCAATTTTTTGAGCAGGTATCAATTCCTGAACAGTTTTAGTGTCATTTTGAGCTTTATCAGAACTAGTTTGAGATCTCATAAAGAAACAAAAAGAAAATTGCATTCTGTTTCTAAAAAGGAGCATGTTTTATCTTCATTGTGACACCTTTATCAGTACTGAATGTTGAGTTAATTTCTTAGTATCTTAGTATTTTAGACTACAATGTTGTGCTTTGAGAGACTTCAATAAGCCTGTACAAGTGCAAGGTTGATTTGTTATTATGGAATTATGCAGTTGTCTCTACATATGTCACATCTGCTACCAATGTTATATGAAGCTTTCTGATTCTGATTTCTTGTGTTTTCAGGATGAAAATATCATGCGATCGATGCACCTGTTTGAGAATGTTCTTTAACTTTCGGCTGGGTTTTGGAGGCTGTGGAGGATCGAGAGGACTTCATCTTTAGCTTGGCCCAGAGACAGACTTGGACTCAAACTGTGTACAGTGTGCTATGCAGACTTTTGACCATGAAAATACCATTAAAGCTCATTACAGTGGGCCACAGGTAGGAGTAGGCAATACAACAGGACCACTCTGGAGTTAAGGGCCATTTAGTTGAAAGGCGTGACAGTGAAAAGAAGAACCTAAACACCCAACTGATAATGAAAAAACTACATCAACTTGTATTGTCTCTTGTGGGTCTTTGATGGATTCTATTTCTCTGTAAAGCAACTTCCCAGCTTCAGTACAGCACCTTTTAAAGCCTTTACACCTGCTTTAATTTACTGTCAAGCTGTGGTGGGTATAGTACTCTGTTACATTTACTTCAGTTGTGTATAAGTGATTAAAGCTTTCTGTTGACAATTATTAATCATTTGAAAATTGGTGTTTCTTGCACCACTGATTTGAAAATCAGATGTTGTATCGCAATAGTTACTTGGACTCACTCACTTCGGTAATAGTTTCTGCAAATATTTGTACTCATGCAGATTTTTTATTTCTCGGATTGGAATATATATATTGTTTTACTTTTTAAATAACTGTACTCTTAGTCTAGTACAATTTTTGGCTACTCTACCAACCTCTGCTGCCAACTGAAATCACTGTGAATTTTAACCACATTCAAAACATAAATACAAAAATGTCTACCTGCTGAACACATTTTAGTCTGGTCTAAACTGGCTCTCAACTCCAGAGTCCTCCTCACCTTTTCTCATTGTGGTCTGTGTTTTCTCTTAAAAGAATTTAGAAACCATTTTAAAATTGTATATACTATAGATAATAGATAAGAACTATATGAGAGAACGTTTCAGCTTTGTCCATGTTTACTTGCCAACCACGTTAAGACAATACAAAGATTGTATTGATGTCAAATCGGACCATAGTGTTGGTTTGTCAACAGAAGCACACACATGTAACTTAGTGAGTATGATGTTGGACGACCATGTCTTTGTCAGAAGAAATGCTGCTTTTAGTGTTTTTCAGTTCATTTTGTAAGTCTGTCCATTCCGGGTATAGTACAAACCCAAATACAAAAATTGTGAGGTAGATATTGTGTAAAATGTAAATAAAATGCTATGAAATTTCTTATAGTAGAATATTGTATTTTAGGGTGTTCTCACATTTGGTAAGTTATTAAAGCACTAGGTTTGCATGGTAAAAATTTCTTCTTGGTCCCAAAATTATTCATTGAATTAAATAGGATGTAATGATTTTTATGGCAGCAACACAAGCTGCATAAGCTGAATAATCAACTATGATGTGAAAAGCAGTTATGATTTTACATTAATCTTACTGCTGGAGATATGGTCCCAACCACCATCAACTGGACATTCACACATTCATACAAACAATATGACTTTGTGGATTTTCAAAGATTTGAGAGATCTCTTTCCTTTTTTGTACTGCATAACACAATTTAGGTTTCAGTTACTTTGTGAATTTTCAACTTGTTGCCACCATCAAAATAACCATGCAACACGTTTCATTCATATTTTAAATCGTTTTTACAGTGTCTCCTCTCTTATTTGTACTTGGGTTTGTACAACATGAGTTTGTCTTAGTTTTTAGCACTGGGGCAGTGTCGGTATTATTTATATGGTATTACCTTCATTGTACAAAGGATTGTGAGTTGTACAGTATTAAATAAGAATTCACCTCTTAAAGTGAATATGAGATTTTAGATTGAATGCTATCAGGTTGTATGTTGATATAAATAATGGGTACCACTTTACAATAACTACACCTTAATTAGCCTTAAGGAAACATGAACAAATACTGTATTCATAATGAGCAAATGTTTATTAGGAACAATTCACGCTTAGAGAGGCTTAATTAAAGGATTAGGGTTAGGAGTTGGGATTTTAAAGGTGCACTGTGGAACTTTCTGGTGGATGGTCCGTCTCCTGCCTCTCTTCATGGAGATGTTATCGCTTTGTCAAGAACAGGGCTCTCCAACCTGTAGCTCGGGAGCGACCAGCAGTTCTCCGCCCCCTTCCAAGTACCTCACCAAGGGATTTCGGAATTATACCATTGTGCTGAAAAACAAAAATGTGGTTAATTACATGCCACTTACTATTGTACATGTGTCATTTTGAAGCCCAACTTTGTGCACTAATAAATGGACAATGGTTTATGTTTTATAGGCATCTAACTGTACCCCAAGGTCCCATAGTATGGCATTAAACTTATCTATTTCATATATTCACATTCACTTATTATGTATGAAGACAAGCCCACAATGCCTCCAAGCCAAGTTACATGCCAGATCTGTGGAGAGATGAGCGCACTTTCTGTAGGAATGCATGTTTTTCATAGTATTGAGCCGTAAAACATCTGTAACTGAATAAATGCATCATAGATGAGTTTAATGCAACACTGTGAAACCTGAAGGCAAAGCAGTATCTCCACGGAAACGACTTTGAGGCGGACCTCCTAACAGAAAAATTACATAGTGCACCTTTAACAAGTTATTAAACCTAAATCATTCTTAATAAATTATGTATTTATTCTGAATGAAATCTTTGTTGAGGCTAATTAAAATGTAATTACTCTAAAATGTGACCTTATAATGTAACTTAATGTATTATAGTCATGTTTCACACTTTGTTTCTCCGTCTCCTCCTGGGTCTATGGGCAGAAGTCCAGCAGCACTTTACCGGTTCCTGCTGTCTGCAATTAAACCATTGATTGACCTCAATGTGAGCAAACACAAGGCATGCTGGGTAAAAAGCCCCTCTTACGGACATCCCCTCGCTCACTGGACCAGATTGGATTACAGAGATCAAGGGGAGGGCACGCTGCAAATGTTTTATTTTGTTAGAACAACATTTCATAATTAAATTAACTTATTATTGGAAGGCATTTGGTAAGTACTTGGACGAAATTTACCATCCAATTTTCTACACAGGATTGTAGCTTGAAGATGCATGTTGACCTGATAAGTGAAAGACATGGCAGAATTTTGCTAATTTATTATTTTTTGATCATGTTATAAAATGTAATGTATCTATTTCCAAAAAGAGAAATACCAAATGTGTGTCTGTCTTTATTATTGTGTGCCTTTAATAATTATAATTTATAATTTCTATTTTAGATAAAAAGTCATATGCGGATATGGTAGTTACTAACATATAATCATCACAAACAAGGCAATGTATGGTGAGATCAGGCAGCTGCAGTTGCTTTCTTTCGCCTTCACCCGCCGTCATGGACTCCAAAGCCCAAACGTATGATGGGAACTGCAGTCCGATACATGTTTATGACCTGCCGCTCAGGAGCATTTCTCCTCTTTCTTCATCTCGTCTTTCTACTTTTATATCATCACAGATGCTTCAAGTCAAACAGAAAAGGTCCTGGGTGATGTACAGCTTGATTGATGTATGATCTTGATGAGGCATCGCCAAACACACCTCATGAAACAACAGTTTAGCTTTTCTTTGTGATTTTGTAAAATTCAGAAACAAGTCCAGTCTCTTGAGAATAAATTAATGTTTATTTGAATACACATGGACAGCAATGCATACGCACCAAATAATTTGTTTTTAAAATAAAACATTTATGTAATGTAGTTATTCATAGAAAAAGGCATGTGCAGATTCAGGTCATGGAATCCTTTATTATACAAGATTACAACCAATCTCTCCTGGGCCCTAGTCCAACCCTCCTCATGGATGATAATTGGTTCCTCCACGGTTCTTCAGTAGTCACTTGAGAAGAAACACAATAATAATTTTTTTAAGTTACAATTTTCAGAATGTGTTTTGCTAAATGCTACTAAAAGAAACATTTCTGACATACCTCTATTCAAGTGCCCCCCCCCCGGTCCAGCTGGCCCAGGACGATTTCCTCCCCGACCATTGTGACGTCGGCCACCTGAGAAAAACAGAGCAACGAAAGTTAAACCATCCTGAATCATGTGCAGGCCAATTCTTGTCCTCTTTGTCTTTATCTTTGTTGTAGTTGTAGAGTGGTCTTTGAACTGAATACACTCACTCCTACTCCAGTTAGTACTGTTACTTCAAACAAAATATGAGTATTTTGTGGTCGAATTGAGCCGCTGTTGCCTCTAATAATATTACTCATCAAAAACATCCATTCAAGTAACTTTTCTTTCTGAATTTAACTATTTAGCTACAAACATCTTACATTAAATGCCACTAAAACATTTGACATTTTTTACCTCATGCATTTCTCTGTCCTTGGTTGGGCTGGTTTTGGTTATTTTGAGGTTCTGGCTGAGGTTGGACTTCCATCACCTTGCCTGAGAAAAAAAAACAAAACACAAGTTAAACCATCTGATCTTTAATTTTACTACACTTGGTTAACATTTTAAAGTACTTGTACTTCTTACACTAGTTTTTGGACTGAATACACTTACTCCTACTTGAGTTATATTTAGTTTGAAGTAACAATACTCAATCATTCAAGCACACACCACTTTCAAACTAGGCAATGTGGGTGAAGTGTCTTGCCTAACGACACAACTCGGTCTATTCAAGTGTCTTTTCTTTCTGAATTGAACTATTAATGTGAAAATGTTAAATGCTACTTTTTGGACATACCTCCAGCCACGTTCACACTGGGTTCTTGTTGTTGGTGGAGAAGGTGTGCTGGAAAGTGGAGGTGATAATTATGGTCGAGGTGAACGGCCCTCACAGCACCTGAGAAGAAACAGAAGAATTTAAGTTAAACCATCTCATCATAGTAAACCAAAGATCATCTGCTGGATCGTCCCTGTCCTCTTTTCCTTGTCTAATCTACTTACATTTGGCTACAAACTGGTTAAAATTGTAAAGAAATTTGTTTTATTGATTTTATTTTAATTTATTTATATTTGTAGATTTTTTTTTTTTTCTTTATGTGCAGCACTTTGGAAATGTTTATTTATGACATGTGCTATAGAAATCAAGTGGATTGGATTATTTACTGTTGTGCTTACAATTGCTGGGGTAGTAGTTTGTCCAAATATTTTTTTACTCTAATTTCAGTATTTGGATCACTGCTTTGTTGAGTAAAATTATTTTGAAGTAAAGAATATTACTCAACAAAACACATGTGGAGTGAATGTTAATCTCTATTTTACCTCTTGCCGCCCTGTGGACGTTATCGACGTTTGGGCCACGACGTCCTGCCACGTGGGCTCTTCCAGGCAAAGGCTGGGGGCCATCAACTGAGAAGAAACAGAATAATTAAAGTTAAATCACCTCATTGTATAAACCAAAAAACATGTGCTGGTCTATTCAATTCCTCTTATCCTTGTCTAATCTTTTTACATTTTACTACAAATTGGTTCACATTTTAAAGAAACTGTACTTCACAGAGTAGATTTTTGGAGTGAGTATAGGCTACTTATTCCTACTTGAGTGATATTTACTTTGAAGTAACAGTACTTTTGCAGTAGAAGAGTAAAATACCTCTTGCCAAGTTTGCTGTCTGTCCTTGGCAAAGATGTCGATACGCAACGATTGTGTTGTTTTGGCCACTAGGCCACACGAGGTGCCGATCATCTGAGAAGAAACAGAACAATTAAAGTTCAACCTTTTGTTGTTTTTGAACTGAATACACTTACTTTATACTAAATATAACTCAAGTAGGAGTAACAATACTCAATCATTCACGCACACACAACTTTCAAACTAGGCAATGTGGGTGAAGTGTCTTGCCTAACGACACAACTCGGTCTATTCAAGTGTCTTTTCTTTCTGACTTGAACAATTAATCTAAAAATGTTAAATGCTACTTTTTGGACATACCTCCAGCCACGTTCACACTGGGTTCTTCTTGTTGGTGGAGAAGGTGTGCTGGAAAGTGGAGGTGGTAACTATGATCAAGCTGAACGGCCCTCACCCCACCTGAGAAGAAACTGAAGAATTCAAGTTAAACCATCTCATCATAGTAAACCAAAAGTCAGGCCTGTTCACTGGAACATTTTTGGACATACCTCCAGGAACGTTCACCCTCGGTCCTTGTTCTTGCTGGGGAAGGTGCGCTGGTAAGTTTTGATAATTATGGTCGAGGTGAATGGCCCTCACCTCACCTGAGAAGAAACAGAAGAGTTAAAGAAAGAAAAAAAAGGTAAACCGTCATAGTAAAGCAAAAATCAGGCCTATCCTTGTCCCAACCCTTTGTCTAATCTCCTCATATTCTCTTACACCCTGTGGGACAGTCCTGTGTCTGTATGACAGTCCTGTGTCTCTGGGACAGTCCTGTGTTCTCTGGGACAGTCCTGTGTCTGTATGACAGTCCTTATGTTTTCACGTGTGTGTGTGTGTGTGTGTGTGTGTTAAACCCTCCTCAAGTTTGTTTTCTTTCTGAATTTCAGGTTTTAGCCAAAAATTTTCTTACCTCTTTCCAACATGTCCCTAATCCTCTGTAGATGTTGCATAAGACTCTCAAACAAGTTAGCATATTCCAAATATTTAAACAAAACATAAAATAATACATTACACATAAAACTAGAGTCTCACGCTGACTAACATTACAGCAGTTTCTCAATTTGTCACTCTCAACTTTTGTGTTGAAAATCAAACTCCTAAACAGGGCCCTGAAAAAGTCTTCTTTAAATCCATTTTGTGTTTTTTCACACAGTCATAAAACTTTTTTGTCTGTGTTTGTAATGTAATGTAATGTAATGTGTGCATTAAGTCACTATGGTAACTCCTGAACAGTCCATCATTAGAGATACATGTAGAAAACCCCCACTGCAAAGTATCAATAATTATGATGTTTTTTGATTGCCCTATATTTGTGACCGTTGACTCTGTAAATTTAAAAGTTATTTTCCCCGTAGAATGATTGATTGTGTTTAGGTCACAGGTATATTCTGACATTATTTCACAAACAGTCATATTTAACATACACAGACCGAAAAGGTGGAGGCTGAAGCTTGAGCTTATTCTGCCTTTACTCTTTATTCCTTTATTGGAGCGTCATCTTGACACCAGTTTATATTCATAAATACAGCAAGAGGAAACAAACAAATCAGTAACAGTACAGCAAAGTACTACAGCACAAACTAAGTCTCATAATTTATGTATCTGCCCAGAATTAAACATTTACACTTCTTTATAAAATGGAAGAGAGTGGTGCACAATTTTAGGTCTTCTGTACAGTTCTGTGCAGAAAAAAGTTATGTGAGTTAATGATGTCAGATAAAATAGTTTTCTTTCCTTAGAAATGAGCCATAACTTGTACCAAAAATTACAATATCATGAAAAAGTTCAATATTTTTTGTTTCTTATTTCACAAAGTAAAACCTATATGTTATATAGACTCATGACACTTAAAATGAAACTTTCAAGCTTTTATTTCTTGACATTTTGGTGATTCTGGTGAATTCTGTGTCTCAGAAAATTGGAAAAGTGTTAAAAAGTTCAATATTGGGAAGTCATTGTGTCACACTGTATCAGCTACTTAACTGAAAACATCTGCAAAGTTTTCCTGAGCCTTTTAATGGTCTCGCAGTCTGGGTCAGTGGGAGACACAATCATGGGGAAGGCTGCTGACTGGACACATGTCCAGAAGACAGTCGCTGAGTCACAGAAGGTCATTGCTAAAGAAGCTGGGTGGTTGGGGCGGACATCAATGTTTAGTCGATAACAACTTGATAACTCCACTTTTTAGGGTTAGGGTTAACAAACCACATCACAAATAAGTATATTTATTTTTACTGGATTATAAAATGCATATATACTGAGCACTTCTGGAGTCAAATTAAAGGAGCATAGACCTACAGAGTTTATTAATATTTGTATTGGACGGGATTTGACACCAGTTTGTATAAACGGGGATATTTGTGGGTTGTTTCTTCACAGATTTGTCCTACAGTATAACTATAATTCATGCACTATTTAAACCTGTTTTAGACCCTGTATTGAAAGATTGTGATCTACTGCCCTCTTCTGGATAGAACCTGGCACTTTTTTATTATTATTATTAAACAGGACAAATTATAAATAATAAACCCAACCTGAAGTTTATACTTACATTTTTTGCATGTATCACAGAGTTTGGTGGTGTTTGGTGTTTAAATGTACACTGATAACAACACATTTAAAGTCAGGATATATGTGCTTGTCATCATGAACAAACAAACAAACAAAAAACAAGATTTGTATTTCCACCTGAGATTTAATTGCATACAAACCAATTTTGGGTCCAACACAAAAACTACATCAACTTAAGGCAATATTTTTAAACATAGGCACAATAAGTCAAAATGACACACTTTTTCAGTCCATCCTGAAGTACATTACACTGTATGGATCAAACATAATACATGTTGTACACAGAATATGCAAATGATATCGGACCATTTCTAAAAAAAAAACAATACTGTTTTTAAATGAAATTAAATCTTGTGAGCCACTCTGAACGCATAGATATGTAGATGTCCATTACGAAACATTCATTATTTAATCCTAGTATCAACAACAGGTATTACTTAACGCACTGATGTTTGGCTTGAAAACTGAAAACCTCAAATATATTTTCCTCATTAAAATGATATTTTAGACACATTATTAAAAAGTAATGAAAATCTACAGATTGCTGTGGTAAGATTGCACTTCCCATTATTTGAAACCATATTTTTTAAAGAGTATTTGTATGGCGTAGTTTGATTGACATTATTGGTATTATAGCACCAACCTCGTGAATTGGCTACACTTTAGACACAGTTACATAAAGCTATTTAAATATAATCTGTAAAAGTAAAAAGTTTCATGGAATGCCTTTAAACAAAATAAATCCTATCAAAGTTATTACATTTCCTTAAAGGTGCACTAACTTTTCTGGTGACCAGTACACCACGTGCTTAAAGAGGAGGTATTACACTTCTTTGGGGTATAAACTGTGAACATATAACATATTTAGATCACCATGCTCCTCACACAAAGTCACTCCCCCTTCAGAGCGCTATTACAGCACAATCCATGTGCATCCTGATAATGAAAGTACTGCACATGGCCTCAGTTGGGTACAGTTTTGAATCATGCTTTTGTATATTTATGCAGAGTTGTGTGGGAGCATGGGTGACGTAGTGGGCTGAGCGCTGAATCTCATAGCTAACCGTAAAGAGGGTTCGAATTGGGCCCGGGAGACATCGCAAAATTACACAAACATGCATGGATGAAATCTAAAACCTCTTCAGGTATATTTTTGATAAGGGAACAACGATATAACATGGTTGAAAGGTAAAAATAATAATAAAACTTTTGCAAAATACTCCCTCGAAAGTTCCAGGCAAACCAATAACATCTCCATGGATACAAGCAGATGGCAGACTATCCAGCAGAAAAATTACACCATGCATCTTTAACAGTACATACAAGTCTTACATGTTGAAGCCTCTTTTATTGAGTTGTTAAAAGAATGTGAAGTGTAGGTCTCAGGAATAATCTTTGAATCCACAGTGGAGATCAATGTTGTATTGCTTTGCCAAAATTTATTTCAGAATAAATCCTGCGTGTTATTAAAATCACAGGCAACTGGTTGATATGTATTCCTGTAATACTGGCTTATGAAAAGTAAACAAAATAATTAGATAAAGTTAAAAGCATGTCTTGTATGGAAAGTGGTTTGTCTGCTGTGTAAGAAAGGCAGCTTAGGAATCCCATGGGTTTTCTCCTTGTTTTAACCTAAACCTGTAAATAATCATTTTGGTCCCTCTGAAACATAGGTACAAACTGAAGAGGAGTAAAGTACTGCCCCCTTGTGGCCACAGTATTGTCCATGGAGGTGCAGAGCTGGAGGTTAGGTGAGGAGTTGCCTGATTTCCCGGTGCACAAAGCAGAGGAAGTCCATGTAGGAGGCGCCACCGTAAAGACCCTTATCCTCCACCAGAAACTGACGGAAAACGATCTCCGGCTTGTCCTTCTGCCTCACGATATGAAGCTGAAATATAAGAAAGGAATTAAAGGTAATTAAAGTAAATGGTCTCTGTTGAGATCAATAATGATCTTTACAATACAAAATGTAAAAAAAATAATGATCTTGGTATGTGATAGTTTGTAACTAAGTACAAAAAACAGAATAGAAATAGGATTGTGTTTTCAGTAATGCCTTTTATTGTTTGTTTATTGTAATCTTGTGGCTTGTAGGGAGCAATTATTTTCAAATGGGTAGTTAAAACACACCATCAATTTATCTAATTTAGTCTGGCTAAAACAATAAGTAAAATGTATCTTTCAAATTTGCCACTTTCGTCATTTGCCTCCCAAAACCCCTGTTGTGAATTACTGCTATGCCATTGGATCTCCGCTAGGGGGCGCCTCATGTAAAACAGTATGTTAATATGACTTTATTACTTACTTTCATTGAATTGGATCTCTTCTCAAGCAGATCGTTGACAATGGACCGGATTTTCTTCGACAGTGGGTTGTCTAGCTCCGGCAAGTCAGTCTGAAATTAAAAAGAAAATAATAATTATAAAGCAGCAATATAAAATCATATTATCAGGAGCTGAATTATTTTGAGCTGCTTACCATGTCGGGTTGTAGGTGAGCAAGGGACGGTAGGTTGAAGAGTCCCTGGATGAGGTCAGGTGAACTTCCTTGTCCTAGCCACAAAAACATGGAGTGTCCATTTTCCAGCAGGAACATCCCAGAGTCCGAGAGGCGTTCTTCAGAGCAGCGGACAGGAGCAGGAAGGACATCACTGCTGGGATCCATATTGTGCTGTCAATCAAACACAGATGTCCACATATGAGAAAAGTTTCTGACAAAAATACAGAACATATGATGTGTTCATAATACGGTACTCTAAAGAACCCTCAACTGAAACTTTAGATTTAGGACAGCTTAAAATTATTTGGTAGAATTTGCCTAAAAATATCAATCAATTCATTTATTACAATTGATTTGGCCTTGTTTATGATTAAGAAACAAAAAATGGCACAAATCAATACATTCTCTGTCAGTGCAAATGACCTATATGATAATTACTTTTAGCAGTAATATTAAAAGCCTCTGACAATTTCGTAAACTTTAAGAATGTGTAGAAGGAACAAGATGTTTTTGATTTGGAGCAATATTAAGCTTTTAAAAATGAATTATTGGGCAACTCTATTGTGTTTTACATAAATACTCAGCAGTTCTGACAAAAACATATTTTAGATTCCATAAACAAAACATTCAAATTGTTATCATCTACCCCCTACACCTGAAATGATGACATGAATGTAACCTTTTGAGTTCATACATCTGTGTTTCTCACCAGGGGGATGAGGCGTGGATACAGCAGCAGCTGAGTCTCCTCCACCCCCATGGCCTGGACGGACAGTCTCTGATGGGCCCTGTCGTCTGTGGGCAGCTCTGTGCTCGCCACTAATGGAGACGATTTCATCAGACTGTTCATGTAGACTGGGAACACCTTCATGGTATCAGGCAGGATCAACTAAAAATACACAAAATATATATGCACAAATGTATCAAAAATGTCTGTATAATGAAAGGTTCAGTGGTGTCGTTGTTTTGCCTGGAATGGTTCGGGATTAAACTCAAATCCACATTTTGACACAGGCATTTTCACACAGGGTTTTGAGCGAGTATCTATTGCAAACAAAGCTTCATTTCAGTTCTGCCAATGTCTCAATCAAATGCAGTTCCAGCAGAGAGCCAACAGAGAGCGCTATTCATTGTTATAGTTAGTGCTTTGATACAGTGTTTCAGTCCAAATGAGCTGTTTCAAAGTCTTTGATTCATGGGGTTTCCAACTTCCAGTCACAACATTAAACATGTATCTCTCCATGGAGACAGTCCAACGACAAGCTACAGGTGAGATCTCTGGAGAGGCGAACCCTCTCACAGTAAGAACGCATGTTTTTCAAGACATAAACACATCTGTAATTCATTAAAAGCAAGATGGATATGTTCTACTAGATTCATCTCCATTCAGACAAGCAGGTGCCACCAGAAAAGTTCCATAGTGCATCTTTAACACTTCCATTAAGAATAGCAGGAGTTGTTGATGACTTACCTGGCTAGCTGCAGAGGGACTAGCGCAGTTTTTCCTGTAGCACGCTAACATGTGCGCCGTTTGGTTGACAAGGATCTCTCTCACGTTCTTTATGGGCTGGTTCAAAATGGCACGATAAGCTGCACAGACAAGAAGAGAAGTCAGATAAAGCACCTGAGAGGGTCCAGGGCAAGATCAGAGAGCCAGACTGGTGTTTCAAGGATTTTTTTAGGGAGTTGCAATGAATTATGGGTGAAATGTGACTAAAGAAATGGTACGTACAGGTTGAAGAAAAGCAGGACCAAAGCAGGAGGCCAACTAACGGTGAGTAATACAAATGTACAGATAACAGACACTATGTTTAATGTAAACCAGGTGGGGCTAATTTCCACAACTCATTCTTTTCTGCTTGGGTCGCTCAGACGGCATTAGAACAGTGTCAAGTGATGGATACAGTAGAAAGGTCAAAGGTCTTCACAATGTTACTGTGCATTATTTAACATTTGTCTGTTAACGTGAAGCCATTTTTGAGAGCTAAAATGTCCATAATAAGCTACTGTATTGTTAACGTTCCTTGATTGGTAAAGGAATGAAACACAATTCCCAAAAAGCACAAGACTACCCGGAATGAGACATTTTGGCCTCACGTTTTTCACAGCTTTTTTGAGGTTTGATTTCTTTTTTGTCCAAGCCAAATGTAAACACATGGAAAAAATCTCACAAGATAATTTTCCACATGTGTGCACAATCTTGTCCCATTCCTTGATATTACTACACCCATGAGTGTTTCAAGATATTTTGGTACAAGATAAAAAGTTTGCTGTTTATTCTGAAATATTTTTTGTGCTTAATTTTAACCACTGCCTTATTGGGTCTCTGGTTCCATTTTGTCTTTTTAATGCACTGGCACTTACTCGTGACTTAACAAAACATATGTAAAGAAATGTATTACCTGATTTGGCAAAGAAGTTGATGAGTGAATCTGTCTCGCAGCTTTTGTACAAGTCGGATAACTGAGAGCTGCAGTTCAGGCTGAGGTTGTGAATGCGCAGTCTTCTCTGTCCACTCAGGGTTGTGTAGAGCAAGGCACACTGTTTGACAACATGTAAATAAGTCTACAAATACTAAAATATATGGCTATTTTTTCAGATTAAAATATAAAATACCTGGATCAGCGCTCCTGTGTCTTCACCCAGAGAATCGTCGTGCTTGAATTCAACTGTAACTGCTTTGTCACAATCTACAGAGGCCATCTCTACGTCTGTGGTATTGTTCATGTGGATGGCGCCAAAGAAGTCCGTCGCTCTGAAACCTAAAATCCACAATCACTGAATGTTAGAAATGCAACCGAGCAAAAATATTTAAAAATAATATAGCAAAAAGTATTAACAATTTACCTGTGCTGGTCCGGACTCTCATTACAGCATCAAATCCAATGGGTTTTTGCACGTCTTTCCTCAGATCTCTCAAGAAATGCTCCCCATCAGTCTCCACCTGTCAAGAGATGCATGTTACGTCACCTGAAAAGGCAATACCGTCCCTAACCACCAGATGTCACCATACTATTGAATTACAGTAGATTAAATTTTTGAATATACATGACTATACAAAAAAAAATGTCTTTCTGTAGCTCTCTATTATTTTTATGGAATTCTGCATTGTCACTTGATGGCAAGTTATCATTCTTGCAAAATATCCATGTGTAAAAATATAATTACACAGTACATGATATATGGCAAAGGAGAAACTGGACAAATGTTTACTTAGGTCAAAAATGTTTCACAGCTGCTCCTTCAGTTCTGGTCAGTTTTACAGAAACTGTAAACAAGTAGGCGTGTTAGTTTCAGAGTAGTTTCAGTCTTTTTAGCTCCTCCCTTCAGGCAGATATAAGGAAGTGTCCACCAGCGTCTGACCAGAACTGAAGAAACATTTTTGACTTAAATAAAAGTTTGTCCAGGTGACAAATTGAATTTCTCCTTTGCCATGGATTCTACCTGGACGACTGAGGGATTCTACACACAGAACATGATATAATTATAGGGTGCATGACAACTGAACAATGTATTTAGTTATTAGTAATTTAGCTATGATAGTACTATGTATTAACCACTAGAGGTCATTATCCTTACAATACAGTCATAGTCTATACTGCCTCTGAATGTGGATCATCATAATTTCTATAGCAGCGATCTGTTGTGTTCAGTTTTAAAATATATTTTGTCTATGTTTAGCAAAATCCTGCCTTTCCTACTTTGCCTCTCTTGGCTGCAGTTTCCCATGCTATCAGCTATTAGCACGACTCCTATGGGACATTTCTGTATTAGGCTTTTGGTTCTGTGCCAGGCTCATTTTTGCTTATTTGAAATAGCGTTCAATTCCCTGGCACCAGCGCGCTTCTTGTAAACATTGCCAGTGACTTAAAGCCTGTTCAGAAGGCCCTTACACAACGCATGTCAGCTATACTGCACCTGGAAGTTGTTGTACTTGTAGACAGACCCTCCGGTATGAGAGGGAACACTGGCCAAAGTCGTCAGGTCCACATATTGACTGGGGAAGAGGAAAAGGTCCACACTGCAGCCGTTAGCCACACAGTCTTTAGCTAGCTGCTCATAGACACCCTTCTGTGGCTGGAATAGGGTCTAAAGAAAATACATTACATGAAATTAGCATGTTTAGTTTACAGAGTAGTGTATTAATTTCTCAATTCAAAATGTGTGCTCACTTTTTCTTTGTCTGTATTGATGAGTTTTTTGTCATCCCTGTTTTTCAGTTTGCCAGGAGCTTCAGCTGTGGGCATGGCAGACTGGAAGATGAAAAGTTTACCACTGCATTCAGCTGCCTAAAAAAGCAAGAAAATGGTTGGTTTTATTCTGCACAACTTTAGTATCCTGTATTACCAGATAATATATTCACACAATTATATAATACGTATTATGTATTGGTATTTATAATCGAGTAGTGAGAAAAAAATATTTGAAAAATAAAAAAGTCGCTTACAATATTTCACAACGTGTGTATAGAATATGCTGTAATGTTATTCATTTGTTCAGGTCATTTCATTGGTAGTTTATGATTACAAGGTAAAGACATGGACAAGACCGATATTACAGAACCTACAAGTTTGAATATACTTATTTTGTCATTAATTAATTTTCATTACATTGTTGTTTGTCATATCGGCCTGAATGTTTTGTAATTTGGGAATAGCTTGACCTTTAGGTCTGAACAGTGGGTTCTGATGTGGACAGATGTTGCTAACCTTAAGTGCCTCCACTCCGGCCTGAATGACGGGGGCAAAGACCGTTTCACTCTCATTTGAGTTGGCAAACATATCGGGGATCTGATCCAGAAGGCTGTCAGTGAGAGGAAATAGATTAATTAATGCAGTTTTCACTTAAAAGTAAAGCCACACTGTACTTTCATAGGTGCATTGAGTAACTTTTCTGGTGGAGGGTTTGTCAGATCTTTTTCTCTGTGGAGATGCTATTGTTTTGTCTGGAATGCTTCACAGTATGGCATTAATTAATAAATAAATGAATTAATCATTGCATTTATATAACACCTTTCAACACCCAAAGCGCTTTACAGTTGATTGTTCATTCACTTCACACTCAGTGGCAAGCTACTTTTGTATCCACAGCTGTCCTGGGGCAGACTGACAGAAGAGAGGCTGCCAATCTGTGCCATCTAACCCTCCAACCACCACCAACACACATTACTAGGCAAGGTGTAGGTGAAGTGTCTTGCCTAAGGACACAACAACAGTCTTTTGCCACTGGCGCCCCACTGTGGCACCTGGAATTCTCCCATCCAAGTACTACCCAGGCCCCGGCCTTGCTAAACTTCAGAGATCTGACGAGATCAGGCTTTGACAAACTGGTATGGCCACAAACTGTTCTATCTTCATGGAGACCAAACCAGACCCAGTTACAGGTCAGATCTCTGGAGAGGCAACTCCACTCACATTTAATAAATGTAAGGAAAAGCTGTGGCATAGCCATAGAAACAAGCAGGTGATGGACCCCCAACCAGAAAGTTACATAGTGCACCTTTAAGTACTGTAAATGTGTACAACTTACTTGTAGATAACAGCCTTGGAGTCCTGGTAGTTGACAAGGAATCCATCGAGCAGAGGCACAAACATCTCGGCAGTATCAGAGACCACCATCATCTGTGGCTGGGCCAGAGCACTCTTCACATTGTAGAAATGAAGGACCTTGTTGTAAGTGACAAAGCCCACCTTTATCACTGAGCTCTCTCTACCTTCCTCTCTGGGGATAGACAAGAAAATATGTTTTAACAACATGCTCAGCTTTATCATTTATTGTCTGGTTGAAACCACCTGCAAATTGTTTTATGTTTAGAAGATACCCATCTACTTCTACAACTTTTTCTCAATTGCAAATAGCATTCCAGAACAAAAGTACAGTACTTGGTGACCGACTTTTCTGTCCTGGCCCCATAATGACAAATTATCTGTATACAGGCCTGTCACAATAACAAATTTTGAAGTGCGATATATTGGTGAAGTAAATACAGACAATAATCAATAATCATTAAAACCAAACCAAAAGCAAAAAAGTATTCTAAGTGTACAACACAGTTTAAAAATATGAGCTGCACTACATAAATCTGTACTATCTGTATACCAATATTAACTGGCAAAAACACACATTTTGATTTAGCAAGTTAACAAACTTTTGAATGCTTTTCGTGTACTTACTTTGGTAGTTTCTCGAGCAGTGTCTTCAACTCATTACAGATCATTTTGACCAGTCCACTCTTAATGTTGTTGTAGGAGACATCAATCATAAAGATGAAGGCTGGAGGATTTGGTGGCTTATTGTTCTGTAGACCAAACATCAGGTAAAATTAAACTTTTTATTTTTTTATTTTAATGTTTCACACTATGGCATTAAACTTATCTGTCTTTCTCTTTACCTCTCTTTCTCTAGTAGTGTTATGGTCTTGAAAAACATGTATTCATATGAGTGGGGTTACATCTCCAGAGATCTGACCTGTAACTATGCCTACTGGCTTCACCTTCTTATCTCCATGGATGTGTTTAGTGATATACATACAAAGCAGTCAAATCTCTATGGAGACAAGAAGGTAGCAGACCATCCACCAGAAAGGTTACACAGTGTACCTTGAATGTTCTCCTAATCCAGCAAAATGAATAGTCACTAACAGACAACTGTGTTCATTTGGGCTGTATGTCTTGACACTGTTATGTTTCCAAAGTTACAGCGTCTGACAAGAAACTTACCTCTGAGTCTTTTAATAGCCTGGCCTAGAAAGACTGTTTATAATAGCCATTTACAGTTAACTTCTACCTATCAGTGGATTGAAGCATATTCTTAGCAGCCAGAGCTTCCATAGAGACATAACATTCCCAATAATATCACAATTAGTCATTTGTTTTATGCACTTACAGCACATATCTCATCCATTATGGGGTAGTGTTGTAACAATACTAAAATACTGATACTAAAAAAAAGGCTTAATCCTGATTTTTACATCAAAAAAAAAAAAAAAAAAGTGTCATTTGGGCAACATAATAGTTTAATAAATATTACCTTGTGCTCTTTACTATTTCTGATATAGAGCAGGACCACACAAAAACGATTATTTTTTGTATTGATTTACTTGAAATGAGTATATAGTTTTAATACGATCATATGGATTAGTATCTAGGTATTGATTTATAGCTTTATAGTTTCATTTAAATGCTAGATTACCCTTTCTGCCAATCCTAGTCACAAATCACAAATTGTAGCAAATTATGCCACACAATGAAAAAAAATGCTATAGTACCAAATAAGTATGTATGTTAATATTCATAGCATTAAAAGTTACCTTGCAGTAGTCTAGGGTAGCTTCAAACTCATATGACCCAAGTGACAACTCAGGTCTCTCGTAGAAGTCCACCCTTCGCCCCATGTGGTCAAGATGTTGGAAATAAAACACTGGCACTGTGTAAAAAGAAATGCATTAATACTATTTGTTATATATAATGTTTTTGAATATTAGCCTTATATAATTCTGTACCTTCGTTGACACAGTTGCAGAATCCACACTGGAAGCGACGACCGCCTTCAGTAAAATGCATATACGGGCACATGTAGGCCTTGCATCTGTTACAGCGGATGGGTCCAGTCTCACCATGGTTCACAACATACAACGGAGTCTGCATATAAACAGACTAGTTAAAATAAGCAATAACATGGAAAATTCACTGCAGTTACATAATATGATAATTTTGGCTTAGAATACAAAGAACATACTATTAAAAGAAATTAATTAAAAGTAAAAAGACAGAAAAGACAGATTAGGTCGAATCTCTGGTAAATCTGAGTGGTTAAATAAAGAGATTAGGAATAAGCTAATTAAACTAAAGACAGTTAAATACAAGCAACATTACCCAAAAAGGCTTATGGGGGCCTGAAGGAGGTGGAGTGGTGTGTGATGTGTATGGGCACTACAGACTTTTGTATCAAGATTAAGATTTTAAACTGATATTAGAAACACAAACAAAACACTTAACTAATTTTTCATTGCAAGACTGACTCAAAGATTTCCATTCCAGATACCCGTTAGCATAATCTGAGTCTATTTATAACTTGCATAAACTTAGATTGTGTATTACTAAACTCTTTTCTTTGTTTTATCAGGTGCTTGTTTACTTCTGGTGGTGAAGACTTACCTCATTCTTTGGCAAGCAAGCCAAAGGTTTAATGATGGACGCCAGAGGGACTTGGCACTGTTTTGCCAGGTCAGCGGTGGAGGGCAGGGAGTAAGTAGTGCATCTCATAAATCTGGGGCTAGCATTACCTAAGATTAGAAAAAAAAATGTGTTCAGTTCACAAGGTAACAAGAGGAATACTGGAATACTGTTTTTAGTTGATTCATTACCTTGGTCTTGTGCTGTGAACTGTGTTGTGACCAGAGGTGGCACTTGTCCTCTGATGTTTGTGGCGTAGACCTGTTCTCCTCGTCGCACTTGGTCATCCTCAATCACTTGGGTCTAAATGGGGTGAGAAAAAGTATATGAATCAATAATTGCTTATAACTAATTCAAAGATGCATTTTGTATGTTTGAATTATGCTCACTGGACTGGGGATAGAGTCTGGGTCCAGTTTCTTTTGAGGTGGTCCAGCCAGTTGCGATGGTCCCGATGGGAAGCCTCCAGGCATTCCAGGCTGGGGTCCTGCCATGGGACCACCAAACTGACCTGATCAAAAATACAGTAGGAGTAAACAAATTACTGCATTTTGTCATTACTACATATACTACTGCTATATAATTGTACACTACTAATTGGAGTTACCTGGTTGCTGTGGAAATCCCTGTGGGCCAGGACCTGCCTGCTGGAAGCCTCCAACACCAGGAGGAGGTGATCCAGGAAAAGGTCCCCCCATACCTCCCATAGGTGGACCAGACATTGGAGGGGCACCCATTGGAGGGGCACCCATTGAAGGAGCACCCATTGAAGGAGCACCCATTGAAGGAGCACCCATTGAAGGAGCACCCATTGAAGGAGCACCCATTGAAGGAGCACCCATTGGAGGAGCACCCATTGGAGAACCAGCCACAGGAGGGGGTGACAGTGGGGTGCCAGCCATGGCAGGAGCTGTCATGGGCATATTTGCAGGAGGAAACTGATTGGGAGACATTTGAGGGGACATGGGTGGGGACTGTGGGCCTGGGTGCATCTGAGGCTGACCCATCATTGGAGGAGGTCTCTGAAGGTGCTGCTGCGCTACAGAGTTCACTGGAGCTTGAGGTCCTGGTGCTAAACAAAACACAAATCCGTTACATTAAAATGGTTAAAAGAATACCTAGAATATTTATTATTATTTATTAAGTAGCATGGGTAGGTAATGTATAGAAATTATGATTACCATAATTTCCTATGCTCATAGCATTCATCTGGTTGGTGATTTGTTGCGTTGTAGGTGGGGCCTGAGGCGGCATGCTGTTGTATGAGGACTGTGGAGGCTGTCCATAAGCAGCTGAAGCAGCTGGGGGAGCAGGATACCTGGAGGTGAAGAACAAGTAAAACTACTATAAAACAAGTTACATAATCACAAAATGGTACTTTTACATTGACTTTTGCAATAGCGTTATACTTTTATTTTCTTGTTGGTTTTCACTTTTCATCGGTCACCACAGCATAGGTTTGGTCCTGGTTTGAACCCAGTTTAATCCCGATGTAGACTTGGTTTAGTCCTGGTCTAGTGCAGGTTTAGTTGCAACTTTACTCCCATTTTAGTGTCAACTTTTATGTAATGTGTGTGCAAATGTGAATGCACCCCTAAGTTCCTTTATGGTTTTCCTCTAGACCTCCTGCCTGGCAACCCCTCTGATGCACCTCCTTGTCACTCACATACTCAGAAGTAGGTTAGTGTTCTCTTGAGAAGTCTTTCTTTACCTGTGGGCACCATTCTGCTGCACATTCTGATTGTACTGAGTTGATGCTGGAGCTGGAGGCATTCCTGCAGCTGGAGATTTCATCATACCTGCAGTAAGTCATGTCATTAAGATGTAATAAGTACATTATTCTGCATTTTATATCATATGTTTTCAAAGAGAGTGGTTTACCTGTTGGTGGGGCATTAAAGGGCTGTGTTGATCCCCCATAATGCCCATAGAGAGGCTGTGATGCTCCCGGAGGTCCATACCCCCCCTGGTAGCCCCCCATCCCAGGCTGAGCCTGAGAGTACGGGGGTGCTGCCACATAGCCCTGTTGACTCATCTTGATTTGATGATTGTGTCTACTCTTTCCTCATGCCAAGAAGAAACACTGCAATGCGAAGGTAATATTTTAGGCTTGCTTAATATGATGTTGTTGTAATGTTGCAATGACGAAGAGGGATGTCTCGTTTAAGAATAATACAGCTTGAAACTTATTCAAAACACACCACAGCACATGGTATTTGACCCTTCCCAATCATTAACACTCCTGAACAAGGACCTTTGACTCTGCTTATTGGGAGATAAAGCAACAATTATCTTTATATGACTATCTTTAAAACAGCATAAGCTATTTGACTTCACAACTACTGTATGTATTTTAACATTTTAGGTTTGGACCTGCTTAACTTTCATTTTGTACATAACATAACATAATCATTTTGTTTACCAGAGACATGGATGGTGCCATGCACAGACCATGCAGTCATGGAGCACATTAAATGAATAATACTTGGCTAGTATGGTTATATGGTTAAGTAGTTATAATTCACCCTCCAGCTTACCCATCACATATGTCAAATAACTTGGTGTATTAATACTACATTATTGTAATATAAAATATTACAGTTGTAACATTCTGATAAGCAAACAATGATAAGAGAACAACTTACACAGTATAATAATGTAGTAATAGTGCTAGTAAGTACTAAATGGCAATGCCACGTCAAATACCGTTATGATGGCAAGAAATCAGAGCATCCCTTTACAAAAGCTTAGCATCACTCAAAGAAAAAAAAAAAAGAAAAAGTCTTTTAAATCATTGTTTGCGACACAGAGGTGGCTACTGTTCAGATTAGTGTCCAGAGTCTATGTTTTTATTGCATGATCGATAGTAATCTTGGTCATGCTACACGGAAATTAAACCAAACTTTTCAACATCACTGGCTCCCCATATGTCATAGACTAACATGCGGACACATGCTGAATGAAATGCTACACAAAACCCATTTAAAGTGTGTAGAAATAGAAAGGTGCTGTTATTTACCTGGTTATCTGGGCAGAGTCCTCGTATGTCGTTCACAGGGAAAGCAGAGTGCCACGTCAAAACTCCACCAAAGCGCCGGTCTGTGCGCTGCTTACGCGACCAACATCCACCAGCGTCAATATGTAAACACAACCAGCGTATCCGGTCCTGCGCTTTCATCTTAAAATATTAACGACGAGTAAATGTTTATTTTGTTCTTAGACATATAGTTGAGGGAAACACATGTAGCTACTAAAATATGAACAACCAATTTTATATATCCTTGTCTTACTTACATGTTAATATCGAGCTTTTCGTCAAATCTGTATCTTTTATTCTGAAGGGTTTCCTAGACAACATCTGGTTTTGATGTAGATTGTTGAAGCGGAGTAGGTTGTGCGCATGTGTGAAACTCGGGCAACCCTACACGTCAGCACAGCAGCACAGAGGATGAGGACCGGAGCGTTTCATGTACAAGCACGCGTTTCATCTCATGTGAGATGGTGTCGCCTCTACGAACTTTTGGTTTTCCCTCCTCTTTGAACAACATTAGCAAAGACATTGAGGCGCAATAGAAAATGTGTGACCAAGGCTGGTTTGCAGCTAGTGCTCATCTCATAAATGCAGCACTGTTTGTTCCCCTAAAATGACCCTAACTCTATGGTCATTTATGTTATATCAGTTCATATTATGGTACCGTTCCCTTTTATACAGCTGAGCCTTTTAGATGGGTTGTTTTGTTGAACTAGGCATGTCAACCTTGAAATCACTATATAACAACTGAACAATAGCGGTAATAACTGTTTTTTACTACCAAATTTAGAGCTTAAAAATGCAAACAATAAATAATTTCAAATCTACATTTGGGTATATGTATGGTTTCTTGTGATTAAACTTGTGAGACTATAAATATATCTCTTTGCCCGTGGTACCCACGGGGAGACCACCAGTTGCATGCAGCGCCTGGGGGCGTGTCCGTGCGCAGTGACGTTGACGGGCTGGCCTGTTGAGTGCTCAGATGATGGGGATTATATTGGCTGATGTGCGGTGCTGGTGGTTTTTCTAAAGTGCTGCTGTTCTGGCTCGCAGGTTCATGGTCGTCCCGGAGAGGTCAGCCTGAGGAGCTACGAGAGGAGCAGGCATGGGCATCGGGGACTACATCTGCGTCACGCTGCGTGGTGCTGCGCCATGGGGGTTCACGGTGGCACAGGGAGAGGGGGACACCTACAGACCCTTGGTGGTCTCTCAGGTAACTTTTGCAAGTCTTGAGCACGTTTTTTTCTGTTCATCTGTTTCTGTTCATCATGTTCTGTTTTATACTGCAGTTTTCTCAAAAGTCTCCTAAGTTTGACAATAGTATTACCGAATAATGTTTATTTTAGTGTACTTCCATAACAGCAAAGTTAAACAAGACATATTGGTATTAGCTGATAATGATCTTTTCTTGTTCATGCATATTTGCAGTCTTTGGCTGTGTTTTTGGTGCTAGATTCCTCAGGATCCTTATATGGTCAAGGCCAGGACCGAGTGTGAAGCTGCGGGCTGCGATCTGTTATCACTCAAAAAGACTTTAGTAAATGAAGAAATATTTTGTGCAGACAGCTCAGTGAGTGGGAGAGTGATGGGCATTCACCTTATCACTGGATAGAAATGCAAATGATTTTCCTGCTTTTGGCATTACATCATTTTATAGGTGGATGTTAAATGCAAAATGAAGATTTAAATGTTCAATACAATATACAATGTATTATTTGACTGTTATATGGTGTTTCTAAAATGTTTGCATAATACATAAGCTATATTGCTGAACCTACAGTAAGTCTATATTGGTGACTTGAATTTGTTGTAAACATTACTTCGAAAAGTGTTTCATTTGTACAGTCTGTGACAAACGTGCCTTGCTGCATGTAAAGAACCTATTTTGGTATTAACTGAAGCCAGGTGGTAACAGTCAAAGTTTAGTTTAGTAAAGTATGCTTTTATAAATACTCAAAATCTCCCAAAATCTTGCCATCCGCATAGCGCACATGTAAATATTATTCTTAAAGTGCATTCCTCTCACATCAAAGCTTGCCTGAAGGAGGGTTTAACTGCGTTTAATAGTTCCAATAGATCACCTTAATGACAATAAGATGTTTTACGTGAGCAGAAGCTATTTTTAGTTTGCATGCTCTTAAACCTTTTAGAAATAAAACACAGTGAAGATGTTAAAAATTTGACTAAACGTTTACAAAAGAACACAAAATCCCATCAGCCTCATAAACAATACAACTTATTTTAGAAAGTCGGTCTCTTATTTTATGCAAGTGAGTGAATGTCTAAGTGAGTGAATATCTAATGCATGTTTTAGATAAATTTCAGAAAAGTAAAAGGTGTGGAACTGGAAGTCATCTTGGTATAAACAAGATAAGTAGCGACAGAAGTTCTGGCAATTGTAATCATAGCAGTAGTATTATGTAACATGCAATAGTTGTGGTACAGTGGTTGTAGGATAGTTAGTAATTGTAGTTTTGTTCATTGTTTTGAGTTTTGTAATGATATCCTACAGTAACAGGAGTAACAGTACTTATATTAATGCTTTTCTAATATTTGCATTCTCCAAGCGTGGTTTTTAAGCTTACATAGATTGTAGATGAGACAGTGCTTTTTGTTGTGGAACACTCTAGTTGAGTGCCTGACAGACATGCTGCGTAGGAGAGTGGGGTATCCATTTGTAAAAGGTTCTTTCCATATAAGGACACTGTATTTTTCTTCTAATTTGGAGTCTTGGCTCGAATACAAAGTTGGTGAGGTCACTTTATTTTTAAAGCTGGCTGCAAGAAATACTGAAACTCACGTCTTAACCTTAGAGATTATGAATTAGCAGCTACAAAGGAAAAAAATAACTCTGGTCTCATCAACCTGAACATGAAACATTTGTAACTCGGTAATTAGTTTGTCATCTTGGAATGTGGAGTGTCGCGATGCATTAAGTCTTTATGTGAGCCAAACATTAGCCTTATTCCCATGTAATAGACAGGCTATACTTCTAAAACTGACCTGTAAGTTACAAGAAGGTCTGCTGCATGAATGATTAGGATGGCACAAGTCAAAAATTGCTTGTTTAAGCAAAGATGTTTAAATTGCTCAAATTTTAAAGTAAACTTATAGTTACTGACCACTGACTGACTGACAAATACCATCGGTACTTACATTACTATTTACTGTACTTTATTACTGCTACTATCAGGACCTCAAGCTATTTCTTATGCTACTATCCTATATTATACTACTACTATTACTACACTACTACCACGACTATTACTACAACTCCTCTTCAGTCATATTTTTTTTAGTATCACTACTTTGAGTTTTCATATTACACTATATTTTGATCTGCAGTTATAATGTTGTTTCAGCATCACAAACTTACACAAAAAACACAACTCTAGAGTTGTGTTTTGTTTCTTCCACACATGTTTAACACGCAAATCCTGCATATTTAGGGATTCTGACTTCTTCTCTCAAACAGAAAACACTCTGTTCCAACTTGTGATGTCACTGTGTTATTAAACTCCATCCAACTTGACTAGAATAATTTGGATCATTTCCGCCCTGGAATTGCATATCTCTACAGAACAGAACAGAAAGGTAAAAGGTGGCTGTTAACTTGAAAACTATCACCACACGACATCACAAGGTGGAACAGAGCATTTTGGGTTTTTGAGCTGTAGACAAACTAATAATACTACTACTACTTCTACTTTCATCAATTCAGTGAAAGTATTGTATAACATTAGTACACAGTGGGTGAGTGTGTTTGTGTTACTTGTCCGTTGCTGTTTTGGTTTGAGCGCAGCCGTGTGTTTGGATATCAGAGAGGTGAATCACAGTGTTCTGACTGCCAGTGTCGTGTGTCCGTAAGGGCTAAATGAACTGCATAAATCCTAATCTCAACATCTGTTTGTGCTGTATGGGACATTTCCTCCTGACCCGGGGTTACAGAGGTGATGACAGGTCTATATGCATGATCTGTGATAGGATTTACCAAGGCCATGCATTGTAATTTAACGCCAGGCAAAGGTATGTAGACTACGTGATAGCACAAGAGCAAATTTATTATAATTTTAGACTATTACTTTTATTGTAAATGAAAAAAGGTTGATGTACAGTAGATAAGAGATCAGCACTATTGTAAAAGTACTAAGGCCTCAAAATATTATCACATTGTGCATAAAATTCATCTTATTCATGAGGTATAAATATTATGTTATTTTTACCAAATGGTACACTTTCTACTTCAGATTTCTGGGCCAAAACTACTACTACTCACACTACTATTACTTGCACTACTATTTGTATTATTACTATCTCACTTACCACATAGCAAAAGAATGTTTTACTAATTTTGAAGAGATTTTGGAGAATCCAGCAAAGGTCTATATAAATTGAGGGGTAGTATCTGTAAGGGCATCCAACATAAAATCAAATACACTTTAAAGCAAACAATTTTTTATCCAGGAGGAGAAAAAAAGTCCACATTTTCTTTTGAACTGATTCCATTTGCATAGTACACAGTCAGCACAACGATAAATTGGCTTATGTATGCTTAGTGCCAGGAAGACATTAAGATCCCTTTATTTACATTACCGTTTTGTTTTGATTTCTTGTTAGTACAAAAAGACAAATCCCCAACTTGTGCACAGAGACCCCCAGCGCTAGTTGTGCAAGAGGCGAGTGCTACCTGTGCGGCAGCTGGAGATGTTTGTGTGAAATGTAAAAACATAATTACTTAAAGCTGCACAGAGCAGGAACAGCCAGGAGCAGGGCATTATGCGGCTACACTTTCCGGTGACTTTCTTTTGTTTTAAAACCTAACATATTATCAGTGAATAGATTTCCACTACTTAAGGATGAAAATAGTTATATACGAGTAATTTGACCAGATTGTTGGGTACTTTTACTTTTCTACTATTTAATTTTTTATGCCAGTGGTAAATAGGGCAGAGCAGAAGTAGATTAGTTGCAGTTATAGCCACAATTGCACTAATGAAAGTTGTGGTCTTAGTTCTACAGTACAGTAGCTGTTAAAGTATATTGAGTAGTAGTAGTCATCATAGTTGTTGTTGAAGTAGTGGCAGAAGTAGTAGTGGTAGAAGTGGTGGTTGTAGTCATAGTGGTGGTATTGCAGTAGCAGTAGGGGTGGTGGTAATGGTAGCAATTGTAAGTATTTGTAGTAGCAGCAGAAGTATCACCCATTTGTCTTTCTTCATGTACAGATCGAGTACTCTTGGGTCGTACATAAGTAAACAGTATTATAATCATAGCACATAATATTTTGAGTTTGTTCTTTGGTAACATGCTTTCAGAAGTAAACTAACCATATATAACTATTCTAATGACAATCTGGGGAGTATACATATGTTTTGAATGTTATTGGACTGACTCCTAGGAGGCTAACTGATGTTTCCCTTCCTTTTTTGGAGCAGCATTAGTTGCTGTGGCTTCTCAGACAAACTCTTCTCCCCTAAGTGAGGTGTGAGTCCCAAAGGCAAGCACAAAGGCTGCCTTATACGGACAGTGAGCACTCTCATATAACTCATGTATACACTCCAATGGCTTTTATATGCACCTACTCGCTCTGTAAAGTCACTCATAAAACAACTGTTTATGCACCACTGTTCTAATGCTGTATGATTTGACTATTGTCACATATTTTGACTTTAAAGTGCACTATGGAACTTTCCTGGTGGAGGGAATGGTATCTTTTTGTCTCCATGGAGATGTTATAGCTTTGCCGGGAATGTTCCACAGTATACTATTTATTTATTCAAATATAGGTGTTTTTATTGCTCAGAAATATCTTGAAAAATATGCATTGTTACTGGAAGTGGGGTTGCCTCTTCACAGATCTGACCTGTAATTTGTAAGGTGCCACCTTGTCTCCATGGAAGCAAATACATTTAATACCATAGTGTGGAACATTCAAGGCAAAAGAACAACATCTCCATGGAAACAAGAAGATGATAAGCCCTCCATCACAAATGTTACACAGTTCACTTTTATGTGAAAGATTAACTTCTACTATTACTTCAACACATCGACACGTAATGCAGTATTTCTTCTTCACTGCCAGAGTCATGTGTCATATTATTATATGGATGTTCTCAAATATACTTTTCAAATTGCAGTTTTTGTGGACAAGCATTTCACCAGTGACCAAGACTGTCGTCTGTGTGTGGGCAGTTCCCTCTAGTGACCGCATTGTTGTATTACAGTAGTAGCAGTACAGTATTACACCCCTGCTTTTGGATAATGAAATATGAACTCACAGTTGCTTTTATCCCAGTCCCCTCTTTCCACTTGAATGTTCTTTGAAAAACTGTTCTTCCACTTGAGTCATTGGTATTTAAAATATAATATGCATTTTTAGTTAAATAAAAAAAAAATCATACATCAATTAAAGCAAAATATGTAAAAACTCATTAGTAATATTAGTAAACAGACATTTCTATAATATGTTTAAAATGTGTAAAACCAATCTCTTGTTTAGAGTACAACATGTTGGCAACATGTTGGCCAGACATTTTGGTTCACTGAAGTAGAGTCCTTATCTGTTTAAATTATAAAACTGCGTCTGGCAAAAGTGGATAGTACAGGCATAAACTAATGACATCAGCAAAAAGGAAGTGTTTAATTGAAAACATGACAGTGGCTCAACAACTGCAATATTATCCAAACAGTAACACAGGAAAAATCCCATCATTCAGTCAGTGCATTTTTTTTTCTTTTTTTCCTTACAGCCTCAACATTTTGTTTATTTATTTATTTTTTACAATTTCTTTCAACTGAAACCATCCCCATTCCCTCCTGCTGCACAAGTGGCCTTTGTGCAAAATGTATGAGGGGCGTCTCTTTATTAAATGGTCTTATTAATGGACCGTTTTATAGGCCACAGGAAGCAATTATGGACAAATGAAGCAATCCTTCATGAACTAAACTGTGTAGAGAAGGTTTCTTGGATTGCCGTGCAGAGAATTGGACCACATTGGTATATTCAGAGGTAATTTAGGTTAGTAAATGTCTTTTGTTTTGCAGGTAGAAGATGGCGGTTGTGCTTTCCTGGCTGGGGTTCAGGAGAGTGACCATGTGGTGTCCATCAATGGAGAGCCGAGTGCAGACCTGACTATGGAGCAGGCCTGTTCCATCATCGAGAGCTCAACAGACTGTCTGCAGCTTCTGCTCAAAAGGTGATGTGCTCAAATTAAACTGTGAGCAAGAGCAACTCTAAATCCAATCTGTGTAAATAAAAAAAATAAATAAATAAAAATCTATAGGCTTCTTGTTTTGCAAATCTAACTAGATATGATCAGTTCAGATGTTTGAATATTTGCTAATTTAATTTTGCAATAGTGAGCAGCAGTATTTCTTAAAATGTTGACAGTGAATATGTTGAGTTCAACAGCACCACCCACCTGTCAGGATCTGAAAATAAATTTTCTCTTAATTTGTCTGTATAGTCTTACAAAGGGAAAATAATATTATTGAAAGCTTGAGAGCTTGATAGATGCTCATCTTCGAAAATAAAGACTTAATCCAAAGAACTAGAACTTAAAAGTGCTTAGAACTGTTATTTCTTCATGTAGTCTGCGCTGAAATGGAGCAAAGGATCATGGTCTATGTAGTTCCCTCTGTCTTTTTTTTAGTTATTGCTATTGCACCATAACTCTTAAATGAAGCAAAGAGATTTGTAATTCAATATATTGTGATGGTCCACGATATTATTTTGAGAACTTTGATAATACAATATCACGATATTTCGCTTATTGTTACCTCCCTAATAAATAATATATTTTTCAATATATTTCTGAAATTTTATAAACAGCAAAGTTCTTCCAAGATTTAGCACATTTTGAATTTTTATATTATGTATTTAAATATGTTTTAAGCTTGTAAATAATCCTCTGATGGGCATTAGTTACTGCAAAGCTGGTTCTACAAAGCAGTGGTGCCTTTAAGCTAAATATTTAAGTTCTTTGAAAAGTCTGTAAAAAAAAATAAAAATAAAAAAACAGGACACTTCACTAACTGTTAACAAAGTGGGCTTCAAGTTAGTAATGCATGCTGTTAACAAAATTGTATTTGGATTAAGACTTTGTTCAAGAGATCCTTGTGATCTTGGGACCTGTAATGCATTCACAAAGTCAAAAAATTGTCATTCTGCTTTTTTACACTTGACTCAAAATTCTTAATGTGAAGTTATGGTTATTTAAAACATGCAGGCTGTGTTTCTATTGTTATTATACTAGTACTATATTAGCATTTAGATAGCTTGTTCTTTTATAACGTGGCCATGGTGTTTACTCAGACAAACAGTGTGTGTACATCATTGCAGTGTGTATTAGTGAGTTAATGCTTGTCGGCCATGTTTGACCTTCCAGTCCACAGTGTAAGGTGTTGTAGATTTATGTGTGCTATTGCCATGCAGCTGCTCAGCCCTCACCCAGCGGGCACTGAGAGGCTGGTGACATGTTGCTTCTTGTTGGACAGTGGTTTTAAAATAACATCATCATCAACAAGTCTATCTGTTTAGCTGACAATGCAGTTTGTACTTGTGGTGTTTTCCTTTTTTCTTTTTTTTTCCTCCAGAGCCTTTGCTGTTTTACCACTGTATAAAGCACTCATGTGAGGCAGTCTAAAGCTTTAATAACTAGACCATAATCAAAAGTACTATTGATACTGAAAAAAATTACATAAAAATATGACAAAATATTTTAGTTGGGCTGTTGAGCCTTTTCCTCATTATCAAATTTGACTTTTTGTATTTTGAAGGCTGAAAGATTAGCATTATTATTTACAAAGTGGAGTTCAAATAAAACAAACTACTGTTACGTTAAAATTTGCAACATTAGCCATTACTTTCTTGGCTTAGATATCATCACAATAATATCGTGGACCATCACAATATAGTGAATTACACGTCTCTTTGCTTAAATGAAGAGTTATGGTGCAGCAAAAGCTAAAAAAAAAAAGACAGAGGGAACTACATAGACCATGATCCTTTGCTCCATTTCAGTGTAGACTACATGAAGGAATAACAGTTCTAAGCACTTTTAAGTCTTAGTTCTTTGTATTAAGTCTTGTCAAGGCATTTTAAGAGGAAAAAGTAGAATATTAACAGTTTTGTTAGCCTCCACAAAATATTGCAACAAATATCATTTCGTGACATGTATATTGTGAAAATATCGTACCAAGAGAGTTGGATATTGTTACATCCCTAATCGTGAGACTCCCCACCATATCGTGAGCTTTCCCACTATAGCTCAATAAATATTGTACCGTAAGGTTCATACTGTGACGATATCGTATTGTGAGATTTGGATATTGTTAAACCCCTAGTGTATAATGAACGAAAAATGAATTATAGTGGTAGAGCGGAGTAGTAGAAGTCAAAAAGGCCTTTGAACACCGTGCTCCCAGTAAAAGTAAAAACAGTTATCAGTTTATCATGATCAAATATTTTAAGTAACAAGACAATTTCATTTACAACATTTTGTACACTTTACATTATCAAATACTGTGTCATTGCTGTAATTTATTTAGATTTGTACATTGACAGTGACATTGAGTGTTCTAGAAGATCTGACTGCTACTTATCTTTTACTCATTCTCAATACTCATCTATTTTTCTTCCAGATGCAGCAGCGTCCCATCAGAAGACAGTGATGCAGACGAAACATCTTGTGGTGATGGTTTGGAGAGCACCACGCTGCACATTCTCTCTCCCAAACACCGATCTCCAAGCCCCAGGGAACTTTACATCTCCGAGTCCCAGGATGAGGCGTCCTATGGGGGCACGGACAGTGATGGCGAAATCCATAAGGCGCCACAACTCCTCAGTACAGAGCTACATTTGCCCCATCAAAAATACCTTGAATCCACAACTGATGATGTTTTGATGTCTTTACCTCCTGGGAACGTGGTGGAGCTCCAAGTTTCATTAGCAAAGTCTACACTAGATGACTCTGGGAGTGTATCTATTGGGAAAATAATTGATACAGAGAATGCGCTTGCAAACCAGGAAACCACTATAGATGTTAATGACAATCCAGTTGTGAGCACCCGAGAACCACTTAGCCATCATGGGGTGGTACTGAGCTCTCCTGCTACCCCAAGCCAGGTGGAGGTTATCCTGGGAGGAGTAGGGAGGGGCGATCAGGGTGCGGGAAGTGGGGAGGGAGGCCCCGAGATCAGCTGCGAAGGAGAAGAAGAAAGTCAGGAAGTGCCCAAGTCATTTACTGTGACATTTGCTACAGAGGAAACAACAGCAACTGAGGATCAAGACTCCGTTGAATCCGAGGAAGATCCAGACCAGCCACACAAGCACAGAGCAAGACATGCCAGTAAGTATCATAGCACTAATACTAAACCATTTTTATTATGTGTTTTTGAATGAGGATTTGCATGTTAAGGACAAGCTTTGAGCTGTAAATTACAATTGTCATCACCATTTTGAACATAAAATGTACTCTCAAAATAGTGGTTAAGGGAATGTGACCTGAAATGCAAGGAGATGCTTCCGGGTGTATTTGAATCACTAGTAGTAGCATCAATCTTTTTCAGTTGAAATTTGAGCGCAAAATTAAATATATAAAGGCAAAAATAAACAATATATGAATTGACAGGATGAGAGACTGCTGAGTATAGTATTTGGGGGCGTTTCAGTGAAGTGTGATGAGGACATAAATACACTGGGGCAGGCTGACGATGGCTTTGATAGACACTAGCATGTGTAGCCCCCTGTCACCTGAAACCCCCCACACTGCCTGTTTAAACCGGGCTAAAAAAGTCACCCCACTGCTCACTCCCGCTGCTGCTCCCACCTTCAGGTTAGTCTTGTAGAAATAGAAGACTTTTTATAAATGAATTGTATGAAAATGTGTGTTGTTCATTGATGAGTTTATATGTCAAATTGTTATTTCATATATTTTAGCGGATGCATGGTTTAAAATGAACATGGAAGGCATTCAGGCTATCTTTAGGCGTATGGTTCTTGTAATGTGCGCTGACTGGTTTAATGAGGTGAAGGTTTAATTTGAAATAGCGGATTGTCTGCATAAATTAATATTAGCTACGGGTCAGTGAGTTTTATGTCACTAGGTTTTGGAATATGCAAAAGGAGTAGTAATATTTATTCAGCAATGTTTTTATGCAAGTGAGCTTTCCTTACACATGTTTTTATTTGTATGAAAAGTACAGTAACACTTTATATTGATCTAAATTAAGCATGAACAAATACTTAATTCATAATGAACATAATTAAGAAAGTTTCAGGCAGGCTAGTAACAAATGTATTAAGAAATATATTAACTATGTTTATTAAGGCCAATTAAGATGTAGTTATTCTAAAGTGGTACCAAAAGTGTATTATAATATAAAATATAAATATTTTGTAATATTTCAGTTTGCTGTCATGCACAATGCTACAGTTAATCACTTTATACTAATGTTAAATCTCATGTGTGTACTTTGCAGGGCTCAGGCGCAGTGAGAGCCTGTCCGAGAAGCAGGTAAAGGAGGCCAAGTCCAAATGTAAGCGCATTGCCCTGCTTCTGAAGGCTGCCCCACCCAATCCCAACAACAAGGGGGTGTTAATGTTCAAGAAACACCGTCAGAGAGCCAAGAAATATACACTTGTGAGCTACGGGACAGGAGAGGAAGACCCCGAGTATAGAAGTGAAGAGGAAGAAGACAACGAAGATTCACATGCTGTTGAACTGACTATTGTACCATCCAAGGATATAGAGTTAACCAATGCTAACAGTGGTACAGGTGTGCTAAGTATAACCTTTGATAAGAGCCTTCTAGAGATTGAACGGAACTTGAACAGTCCAGTCAAAATGGAGTGTGAAACAAAAGGGAAAGGTGCTTTAATGTTTGCGCAGAGACGTCTAAGGATGGATGAGATTTCTGCCGAACACGAAGAGCTCCGTCGTCAGGGGATACCCGTGGATGGAATACAGGAAGTACAGAAGAAGATGGAGGAGCATGCTTACATGCAGTCCACAATGGAGGGTCATGGATATATGGATGTCAATATACATCAACAAAGCCAGCAGCAGTATCAGCAGTATCAAGGGCAACAGTACTACGAGCAGCAGCAGCAGCACTACCAGCAACAGAACTATCATCAACAACAACAACTACAACAACAACAACAGCAGCAGCAGCAGCAACTCTATCAACAACAACAACAAAACTATCAACAACAAAACTACCAGCAGCAGACCTATCAGCAGCAGCAGTACCAGCAGCAGTATGAGCAGCAGCAGATGTACCAGCAGCAGCAGCAGCAGCAGGAGTACCACCAGGAGCAGCAGCAATATCAACAGTACTCAGCAAATATGAACGGAACAATACAACAGCCGACCAATGAGATGCAGAGCTCCCCAAGCAACCGCACCGCCAAACCTTTTACAGCACAAGACATGACACCTGTGGCCTATTCTACTGCAAACGGGGACAACCAGGAGAACCAAGGGGAGCAGATAGCTTCACGTGATGAGCGGTTATCTACACCTGCCTTCAAAACTGGCATACTACTGGACACAAGAAGAAGAACTGGTGGCAAACCCATGTTCACCTTTAAGGAAGCTCCAAAGGTTTCACCCAACCCAGAGCTCCTAAACCTCTTAAACAGAGGGGACAGGAAAATGGGCTATGAGTCAGGAACTGAGGAGGACTATCTCAGCCTTGGGGCTGAAGCTTGTAATTTTCTTCAGTCTCCAAGATTTAAACAAAAGATTCCTCCTCCAGTGGCTCCAAAGCCGATGATCAACCCTAACGCTCCACCCTGGGCTGTGCAGATGGAAGGGACCAACCAGGACATGCCTCAGTGCTCTGAAAATAGCATGATAACACCTGCTGCAGCCCCCCCTGCTGACACTACTCCTGCTACAGAAGTGGAGCCAGCACCTGCCCCTGAGCCCCCTGCCCCCTCGACTCCACAAGAAGCCCCTCCCCCTGCTGCTGCAGAGGAGCAGCACACATGGAGTGTGCCCACAGCCGAGCCACAGCCACAGACTCCGCAGGCTCTCCAGGCTCCACAGGCTCTACATGCTCCACAGGCTCCACAAGTCACTACAGCTCCTGAGGACAGACTCCAGATGGCTCCAGCCCAGCAACCTGAGCCCACTCCTGCCGCCTCATGGCCCCCAGCTCAGCCTCAGCCCTCAAACTCCTGGCACCAGGCTCCCCCTCAGGAGCCTCCCCACAGTCAGTCTCCGCCACAACCCCCATGGGTGACTCGCCACTCTGCTTCAGTCCAACCGCCTCAGCCGCAGGCTAACAACTGGAGCCCTCAGATGCAGCAGACCTGGAACCAGGCACCAGAGCAGCCATCCTCCCAGCCTCCAGTACAGCCAGCCTGGGCACAGGAGCAGCCTCCCCTGCAGCAGATGCACCCAGCCTGGGCCCAGCCTCAGGAGCAGCAGCCTCAGCCTCCATGGGTGCAGCCCCAACAGAAACCCCAGGTCCAGCCACCGTGGGTGCAGCAAGTCCCAGAGTCTCAGCCCCAGCCCCCATGGGTGCAGCAGCCGCAGGCCCCTCCCCAGGGGTGGCCACAGTCACCAGGTCAGCCTCAACCTCCTTGGGGCGCCGCTCAGCAACAGCCACCTTGGAACCCCCAGCAGCCTCAGAGCCAGCCCCCCTGGATGCAGACTGCACAACCCCCTCCCCCTCAGCCTCAGGCTGCATTAAACCCCTGGGCTCCTGTGCCTCCTCAGCCTCAGCAGCCCTGGGCTCAGCAGCCGCCGGAGCAGAGCCAGCAGCCCTTGAACTCCTGGGCTCCAGAGCAAAACCAGCAACAACACCCATGGGCACAGCAAGCTCCTCCACCTCAGCCCCCTCAGCAACCAGTGAGCACCTGGCAGCAGCCTCCTGCGAAGACCTCTCCACAGCCAACTGCCCAAACACAGCCCCCTCCCTCCTGGGCTCAGCCATCACAACCCACTCCTGAGAGATCATCGCTGGTCAACACTCGACCCTCTCCAAAGCCATGGCAGGCGCCACCGAGCAAAGCCTCTCCCCCTCCTCCACCGCCACAGAGAATCTCCTCCTTCACCTTTGGTCAGAGAACATCATCCCCTGTAAACCCTATGGCCACAGTGCTCCCATCATCTTCAGGTCCTGCCTACGAGATGCCCACTGTCAAAGGCAAAGGAGCGGACATGTTTGCTAAGAGACAGTCTCGTATGGAGAAGTATATCGTGGACTCTGAGACTGTGGAGGCAAACAAGGCCAGCCGCTCCACATCACCTGCTACATCTTTACCCACAGAATGGAAATACACTCCTAATGTACGTGCTCCACCCCCACGAGCCTATAACCCTATCCAGTCTCCTCTGTATCCTCCTGCTGCTTCCAAACAGCCGCCTCCTTCTAGTAGCCCGAGTAAATCTAAGAAAAAGGACAAAGATAAACCAGCCCCTCCTCCCCCTAAACCCCTTAATGTCGTAGATGTAATGAAACACCAGCCGTATCAGCTCAGCTCCTCCCTGTTTATCTTTGGGCCAGCAGAAGAGGCTAAGCCCCCTGCTCCAAAGCCTGAGTGCCCTCCTCCTAACCCTAACCCACCTGTAGAAAACCAGCCACAGCTCTCTTATGAGCAAATGGCAATGCAACAGGCAGGCCAGATGAACCCCCAGTATGCCCCACAGGGTTATGGGATGCCAATGCATCCGATGGGTCAGCCAATGATGCACGAGGGCCCCTATCAGCAGCTGCCTCCCAATATGTACCACTATGCTTACCAGCAGCCCCCAGGGCCATACCAGCAGATGTACAACCAGCCTTATCAGCAGGCACCGCCACTGGCTTATCCAGCCCCAGGCCCTCAGTCCCCTAATGCCCCCTACCTTCAGGCCCCCTATCCTCCCGCGCAAAGCCCCCCGTACATGGCACCCCCCTCTGTGCAGTACCAGGCTCCCAGTGCAGCTCCCAGTACAGCTCCCAGCTATCCCATAGCAACCAGACCAGAGTCTGCATCAGCTGCTAACCCCACCACTGCCCCTAAACCCAAGTTTACGGCTAAAAAGAGCTCAGCTCAGGTGTGGAAGCCATCAGGAGGGGATAAAGAGTGAAACTGGCACAAATAATAACATTCTCATTGAAGCCAGTGCATAGAACTATAGTATATATTTTTTAGCACACTGAAAATGTCATAACTGAGAGATCACTGTTCATATGCTTTGTATATTTTTAAAATATGAATATAGTCGCACAATTAATGTACCCACTTATAGACAGTAAAAAGAAGAATGTGTGTGAACTAATGTAGGGACTAACTGACCCTGGTATTAAGATGGTGACAAAAGGAAGTTTGACAGTGCCTTATGTGCGACTGAAATACACGTTATTTAAATAGTAACTAATTAAAAGAAATATATCCAGGAGATATGACAGTCATGTTTTTATAGTTCTTGTAACTTAATTTAATTATGGGAAGACAAACCCCCTTCGATTAGATTTGAAAAATTTTCAACGAAATGTTTTTTTTTCTTTTTTTTTTTACAAGTCTCATCTCTGACTTTTTCACTCACGTATGTGGGTTAACTTTATTTTTGACATAGACAGCTGTTGCATCATGTTGTATACTATTTATAAAGTGCCTCTTGAGAGGGAGCCCTGCGGTTTCAACTTTCAATTTCAACTCAGGCCACTGAATGAAACCACCTCTCTCTCTTCTATCTGCTGTCTTTGGTTATTACCCCTGTCTTTCACTGCATTGAGCTTTTTAAGAACTTATCAACATGCCCTTTTCCTACATTTCTGTTTTATTTATGTTTCCTTCTGTGTGTTTCTCTTTGTTGCACTTTCTGTATGATTCACATCCTTGCCATTAAATGTAAATGTACCCTGCATTGATTTCTTACCTTTTTGATTTATCACTTAATCCAGTCACACTTTCTCTTTTACTGCTTAAGTTTTCACTCTTCCATCTACCACCACAAAGCTGTGTACACATTTCACCCAAATTAATAGTAGTTAGTTGTCTTTATGTACCATTATTATTTTAACAGTTCCAATGCACTTTTTACCTAGAGCGCTTTTCGACAATCCCATAAATTAAGGTTTATTAGAAGCCGCAAACACTTCATTGCCTTAAGTATATCCACTGTTGGGCCATTGAAACGCTTGTGTTGCACATTCCCACACAATGACTAAGTGATGGTGAATATTATTAGACTAAACAGGAATGACCTCATGCCGTTATATAGACAGTGGGTTACACTGTGGGTCACCACTGACTGAAACCTATAGCCCCGGTGGGTCATTTATTCTCAGAAAGGAGAGCAGCTTCATATCATTTAGTTGTCAAGGCCTTTTTCTATTTTTATAGGGCCCACATTACACTAGATCTTTTCTGATCTCTATAATGTTGTTTCCTCATCAAAAATATACCTGGAGTTGTATTTTGTTTCATTCACATTTGTTTAACACACAAACCCTGCATATTTAGATTGAGTTCTGATCATTTGGATCGTTTCAGCCTTGGAATCACCAATTTCTAAACAACAAAAGGTGAAAGTAGCTTGAAAAGTACCACTACATGACATCACAAGGTAGAACAGTGCATTGAGCTTGGAAGATGTAGCCTAATAATAAAGGATTACTCAAACATGTATGAATGAAACAAAACACTACACCAGATATGTTTTTGAGGAAGTAACATGACATACTTAAAGCTCACAAGAGTCAATTTTGTGTAATATAGCCTTTTAATATACCTTTAAAGTACATAGTGTAGGTTTTTAAAGTTTTCTAATTATTACTTGGTTTGGTGGGATAGTCCATGTGGTAAATATGTATCAGTGTTACATTAGTCAGGTAGCAGTTTGTGGGAAAAAGTTGAGAAGAAAGTAGAGGTAAATTCTAAAACAGAAAAGGAACACATTTTTATGACAGTTTAAACATTAATTTAACAAAATAAAGCTGTTGTCATCTATTTTGGTAAGTCCAATAATAACTATTGTGTAAATTAGACGTGTTTTGGCCCGAGTTAACATTATGATTGCAAGGTGAGATAATTACCTCTACATATGTCATATCTGTTCACCAAATTAAACAAAAAACTACAATAAACTAGGCAAGATTTGTAGTAAAATATTAAATGTAATGATACATGTAGTTTTGTTAAATGAATAGTCTGGCCTTCCATATGCACTTTAATGAAATATGAACTTTGTATAGTACTAATATTAGAACCAATATTGCAACAACAGAATCAAAATATTTCAGGCAAGTAACTTAGTTTTTTTAATGTTTTTTTTTTTTTTTTATTATTATTAATTAATGAATGGACACAATACAATTAGTGATTTTGGTTTGTTTATGCCACAGATTGACCACAAGCTTATATCATGTTTGGGTGAAATTGGCATTACCTTCTACAAGCATATTTCTGGCAAAGACTATAATTAATTTGTACCCACTTCTTGTTTTCCATCTTCTCCCATTTTACCTTTGTCCCCACATGATGGCAGTACTGCACTGTTTTGTAAGTTCTAGTCTCTGCATGATACTTAGAGACACAGTACTTGCACATATGTTTGTTACAAAAATCTCTTCTTTCCTTCTCTCTTTCACCCCATGTAACCCCTTTTCTGCCTTGGCGACTGTTGGTTGATGTCAGTATTAATGTTTCTTACTGTTTTCTGAAGGAGAGGGAAAATGTAATTAGAACCAAATGAGCGTGGCTTAGCCCGTGAAACCCACTTTGATTCTGGGAAACAGAGGCTCCAGTTCAACCAAGTGAACAGGGCTAAAAGAATTAAAGAGCTTTAGCGCCCCATTTAGTTTGACTTAACTTTATTGACACACTTTTACAATAACTTACAGGCCAAGGTACAACCCAACATGGAACAGTGTGCAGAATATAAACAAAAACAGCATGCAAGTGTGCAGTGCTCTGGTCTCATAAATAAATGAGAATTACAAGATAAAAATCATCACTGTACAACTCAAGAAATTTGATATACAATTTATAGTTAAAGTGTTATAAAAATAGTTATATTTATTTTTTCACAGTATTTTACAATGTGAGAAAATGATTGATCCCTCCTAGCTGATTTGTGTTAACAGAGAAGAGACCAAAGTTAAATTTTAGCCAGTTTCATGTCAATAATTATAAGGATAATTAAAATTCTCAAAATTCTGCAACAGAATTATTAACCGTCTTCCAGCTCAATAACATATATGTGGCTCTATAAAAAGGTTCACTGTTTTCTGGTGCAGGATTTACCACCTGATGTTATTGCTTTGCCTGAAATGTACCACCGTATGGTATTAAATATATATAACTCACCACTGAGATGTCACCTGCCCAATATAAGCGTTTGATTTGTTCAGGAATGAACCCACTCACCTTAATGTTTCAGACAAAGCAATAACTTGAAGAAGGTTGAATCAGAAAAGTTAGTGCACCCTTAAATGCCAGGTTTATTATGTGAAGACAACCTATTGTGAATGACCATAATATTAGTATGTGGAAATTTCCGATCATTGAATTTCTTTTATTACTTTACCAATCTTACAATCTTTTTAGCCTTTTGTTCTGTTCCATGTGTTCCCATTGAACTTGTTTGAATTGGCAGTCCTCTCCTCAGCCAAACACAAGCCTTACTAATATAAACATGTCTGGCTTTTCTTTTACAGGCTTTTGGCAGCAGGAGCTACTCTCTCTCCCCACCATCCAGAGTGCCATCCACGGGCCAGCAATCCCTCCCTCCCAGACCCAGAAAAGCGCTTACACCCTGGGAGGCCGCTTCTCGTCACCCCCTAGGTCTGGTGGATGAGGCTTTCGCAGTCCAAGACCTACAGCACACATTGGCGTCTTCTGTCCACTTGGCGGCGCAGCGCAAGATCCTGCCCGAGCCCCCGGCAGATTGGCAAGCCAGGGTTTCTTATCAGGCTCCCAAGAAATCTGGCAGTCAAACGTGGAGCCAAAGCAGGGGTCATACTAGAGCACCCTTGCCGTCATTTGTGTCGCCGGCTAAAACTAGCATCTCCAGTGTGTCCAGTGTTTCGGGATACAGGTCGCTGCCCAGACAGTGGCAGGCGCAGAGGTCAGTGACTAATTTGTCCTCTCCAGATCGCAAAGGGCCACAGGGTCAGTCAGTGTATGCTAGTAGGAACACCAGCTGGAGTTGGAGAAGATAGGAACACACCCCATATATGCTGTTAATAATAGACTAGCCAAGGAATGAAGCTATAGCAGGAATAGAAATATTTACAAGTTGCCACACATATGCAAGACTTTGAAAGGCCTTTAGTACTAAAACTAAAAAGAAAAGATTTATAAATGTGTCTTCATCAAAATGTACCTGGAGTTTTTTGTTTCATTCATACGTTTAACACATAAATCCTGCATTCTTAGGCTGTGTTCTTCTCTCAAACTGAAAAGACGCTGTTTCACCATTGAGTAGTGATACAGGAAGCCCTCCCCATGTGCTTTTAAACTCCATACATGGAATGATTTGAATTATTTCATCCCTAGAATTCGCATTCTGAAGCTACATTTCTTGTTTTAGATTTCTTGAAACTTCTCACTCCTGGGTTTATACCACTAGCCTGATTCATTAGCGGTTTCACTTTGTGGAAACCGTCTGACCTCATTAGAATTAGTTCGCTTGACAGTAGGTGGGTACTTTTTTATTTAACTAATCCTTGCTATTTGGTTGTGACGTATGTAATGCGCCAAATCCTGTAGGAAGAAGTTCAGTAACGTCTTTCCCCTTGATAAAATTCACCAAACATTCTCTTTGTTCCAGCTTTAAAGCCACGATCTTGGGAATTGTTGCCAACACAGAATGTATGGCTTCGTCTACATCCATCTCGATTGAAAGGGACTCAGACAGGCGCTTGAGTTTGACGTCATGGCTTGACAGTTCTTCGCTGATTGGCCAGTGCGCGGTCTACAACTTCTGGAGTTGTTGCAAACCGTCTAGTGTTTTCCGATTCATGACCTAGTCGCTGTAGAGAAATGAAATTGAGCGGAGGCACTAGGTGGTGCCAGCCTGGCTAATATACCACAAGATATTACAGATTTTCTGTATCAATCTCAACTGGATAAAAAGCAAAACAAAAATTGTTTTAGAAATAACAACTTTATTCTAGTGTAATGTAGAGTAAATCAGTTAAATTAAGGCTAAAAACATCCATTAATTTTAAAACTACAACTTGATGATATTACAAGTTGGAACACAGCATTTTGAGCTTTGGAGATGTAGTTTTCCAAAGCTAGTAGTTCTGATAATTCAGGTTTGCTCAGACACATGTGAATGAAACAAAACACAACTTCAGGTATGTTTTTGATGAAATAATAACATTCAAACATGAATAAAAGCTTGCAAAAGTCAGTTTTGAGTAACATAGGACCATGAATATGCAAACTGTATTCAGAAGCTGATATTGTGTATAGTGCAAATTAAAATAATATAAATGAAATGTTACATTAGAACTTAAAAACCTAATCTGATCCAAATCCTTTTTGTAGATAATTTATTCTTCAATGAATAATGGAATGTCTTTATTTAAATGAGGTGTTCTAGTAGACATTGATTTCTCAACAAATCATTGATAGTCTGAAACCACATCAACTAATACATAATTTTTTTCTGAATCAGCACTCAACACCAGATTCATACAGATGAGAGGTGAACATTTTTTGCTGTACTGGCACAATGTTCTTAGGATAAGCACTTTACAACTAATTCAAGAAATACATTATATATTGATGAATTGGAAAATAAAATCAATAAGACATACGTTTGTTCTAATACTAAATATTGTACATAGGAGCAAATTTATAAATCAGTAATATAAACAGATTTTCCCAAATTCCAGTCTGCAATTTCTTTTGTATTTCATAATTATAACTTTGGAATTGAGTTTCTGTGGTTTTTATGTTTAATATCATGCGGCAGTCATTCTTTAGTACTGGTGTAACATCCATGAATAGCCATTTTATTCTTATAATTTACTGTGTACCATAATCATTTGCAAATACGAGAGTTTTTAACAGCTCATTTTAGTGTCACTGACGATAGTGAGTCTCCAGGGAACATGGGAAAAAGCAATAAGTCAGCAAATCTTACTGTAAGTATGTAATTTGTGATGGATTTTTCTGCTATGCTTTTTGCTGTTTTTTTCCCTGGTTGAATGTATTTAGCATGCTGGTTTCTGCTAATCCCGTATTTTAAATGTTGTTTTTTGTTGATAGTGCATACGAATGATGAGTGGCGCGTAGTTTGGTGCACAAGTGAAAAAGCAATTACGGCTGTAGTGAGGGGCTTATAACTTGGAGAAAGGTTATGACCGTTTCTCAGCATGTAGTGGGCGGACTTGTTGTTATGTAAGTGGGAGATTAACTTACTTATTTGCCAGGTGCTTTTTAATTAGTATGTTACTGTGTGGTTGTAAAGTACTCATACCGAGATTTAACTGAGACCTCCGACCCAGAGGAGTGGCTATATCTAGTACTGTAACATATTTGATACATGTACAGTTGCAATTAAAGCAAGATGGGGCACTATAAAATGTAATTAAAAGTATTAAAATAGCAAATATGATGAAGCAACATTTAGAGTCAATAGACAATAGAGTCACAGCATATGGGCATGACGTAATTATATGGGGTAAGACAAAAAATTATTATGGCAATTTTATAAGCAAAAATAAGTCAATGTAATCTACACTCCAAAAAGTAAACTTAAAATATTTTTTAGTAATCTTACATTAACCCTTGTGCACCCCTTTAAAATAATCACACCTGTGGTCCTTCGTGACAAAAATGTACACTAGAAAAGAATACCACAATATTTTTAAGCAGTATGTATTTTTGTCCAACTTTTTTATGTCAGTGTCTTCATTTACTTCTCCCCCATCATACATACCAAATATTTTATAATATATTTTTTTTTATATTTTTACCCCTTAAATGCCATTTTTGACATTTTTTTGTATATATTTCAAGGAATTTTTATATGTTTGTGATGGGATTATCAGAGACTGGAGGCTCCTCTAGAACACACTCATATCATTTTAACCTCAAACATCTGTGTCTGGCCTTCAGTGTGGACTAATATGTACATGTCTTTCTATTGATATAATCTTGCAATGGAAGAAACACGGTAAAAAGAAAAATATACTGGCAAAGTTATGCCAGTAAAAAAGCTATTTTGAATGAGAGTGAATGGGACAAAATGTATCTAAGGACCATGGGTGTGAGTATTTTGATTATAGACTGTTCAATTAATTTCATCTTGAGAAAAACATCCAAATTGATCCAATATAGCCAAAGTAATGAAAAAAAAGAAAGGTTGAGATGTACAAAAATGTACCAAGGGGTACAGCAGGGTTAACATAACTCAACTTTTTAGAATTTCTTAAGATTTAATCCAGATTCCCTTTCTCTCTATTTACCCAGGGAAGAACTTGTAATCCCTTATTATCTGACAGAACAGTTGATAGTTACCCGAGGAGATGTTGTTTTACTAGTTTTGGCCGTGTTGCCCTTGTCAAAACTTTGATTAGATTTCTTGCATTCAGAAAAAAAGCAAGATAATAATTTTTTAAACTTTATACACACAAAACTTATTTTTTGTTTATGAATTGGGATTTTTTAACATATGTTATAGACTGTGGTGTTTAGTGTGGACTGGTGTGAAAAGTGAATAGTCTGTTTACGGATATGTTGTTTGGGCACTAAGTTTTAGCTTCAGCTTGTGTTTGATTATAACCATGCCAAAGCCTGAGATCGTTTTGTTACCTTCACAATGTCCCTGCTGGGATTTCAACTGTTTGTATTGCCATTCAAATCACTGTTTATGCCAATACCAGTCATGTGCTTCAGTAATTCTCCTGTAGATTCACACAAAACCAAATAAATAAGGCAAATAGCACCACAGCACAGACTGTTCTGTTCTTTTGTTCTCTGTTCCAAGCTTGTAGCAGTGTGCTGTGGGCCATTTGTTGCGAGCTGTTCTATCCCGTAAATGTTTTTTTCTTTCTTTTTGTGTGTGTGTTTGTGTGTGTGTGATGTGTTGTCTTCAGCGGGGGGGTCAGGGAGGGGTCTGGTTCCCATGGTGAAAGCAGCAAGTTACATAACACCCGTGGGCACCTATTACAGCTAATCCATTAGGGAGAGATAAGGGGAGAGGGGCGTAACCATGGAAGTATAGCCTCAGTGGTTGAAATTAAAAACACAAACACACCAACAAAATAAAGAGACATAATAAATGAATAAAAAATTATATATAAAAACCATTAAAAAGTGATTTATGGTTGAGTGGGTAGCATTTTTGTATCACTGTTGCTCACGAAATGTATGGACCATAGACTAATTGATTTAATTTTTACAAGCACTGTAAACACATCTTAAGTTTTAGTCAGCAATAAACTGTGCAAATACTGAACAGTCAATATTTTAGCTATTATCTTATCAGCTTTTATCTGCTATTCGTCTTAAATATTCAACAGTGACCGATATGTTGTTTTGGCTGACAACTTTACATATAAGCAAGCCCATCAACAGAAATTTAGGTGCCTGGAACAAGAAGACTCAAATGGGCCTCCTCTAATATGAGTTAATAGGAAGAGGGTCCAATTCTGGGCCCCCTAAAACCCCAGAACTCGGGACAACAGCCTCTTTTGTCTCTCCCTGTCAACAGCCCTGGATATAAGACATAAAACTTTATTTGAACTCCAAAATTTTATTACGCAGCTCTCTTTGCAGTGAATGGGGTTGTGGACAAGTTAAAATAATACAGTTTGGAGAAAAAATATTGGCAGAGCTTAGCGGTCAGTGGTTGCTCTGATTCTGAGTAATCTGTTATTCATCCGCCAATCAAAATCCCATATTGGCCGATCTCTAATTTTATCTGTGGCAGTTTATGCTGAATGTTAAGGAATCAGCCGGACAGCAGCCAAACTGAAGCTACTGAAATAACTGGCACTAAAAGAGCAGTAGTGGTCCAACTATATTTAGTCACCCCACTGCTTGTGAACCAAATGCCAATGACAACACACAGAACAGAAGTGACACCCACCCACCCAGCCACTCATTCACTTGGATCAGACTGCTGCCCCCTCCCCAGACCACAGCTCCAGAGCCTGGGATACAAAGCACCCACATCAGGGGTACCATCCGGTGTGACCTTCTGAAGCGCACCCAACAGGACTCACTCTAGGTACGAGTTAGACCCCATCCCGGGTCCTTCAATACAGGTAAGACATCACCCAAAAACTGCAAATACACTGTGAAAAAAATCAAAGTGGAGCATGCAATGTCACTTATATTCACTTTGGTCATATATGACATTGAAATAACACATATATAATTATAACAACTGGAGCCAACTCATCTATATGGTTGTGTTAACAGTGGAATTCTACTAAAATTATCTCCTCAGAATAAAATGGGCAACCAATATGTTGTCATTTTTCACTAAAATGTGTATTTTATTGGGCCTAAATTATTAAATGCGCTGTTTTAGATTTATCAAAATGAGCAACGTAATCTTACTTTTTAAATCACAAAAAAGCATATCAAGTGTTTTTTTTTTTTCTTTTAGAGATATTCAATACTAAATTTGCTTTAGTTAAACAAAATACATTTCAAAATTCTTAAATCTTCTTGAGGTGCCCTTTGTGCACATTCACGACATACCTACAAGTGCCAACTATTTAAACTTGTCCATCACTCCTTTGCATGTTGTTTAATTTCAAACATATCGACGTGCCAACCTCCTGACACAGCCGGTTGCCATGTCTGATGTTTTACAGCCTCAAGGTTATTTAAAGGGATGTGCTAACTTTGCCCTTTTCACGCTGCTAATAAATTCACCTATCCGGGCTTGTCTTGATTGGCTAAATGCTATTATCTCGTACATGTGTTTGGCTTGTGTGTTTGTGCAGCTTGCTCGTTGCGGGGGGGGCTGATTGGTTTCTTGTGTCTCCAGGGGGCGCCATGTCTCAGTTCTGTACCATGACGACCAGTGAGAGGAAGTTCCTCGCTGCAGCCATCTGTAGAGCGGTGCAAGGGCAGGAAGGTATAATGTATTTATAACACAACCACATTGCAAACCCTATGGACATGTGTTGGGATTTTCATTCTTAACATACTCTACGGGACGAAGGGACAACGTAGTCACAAAGCACTTAATTATATAAATAGAAAATATACTGCAGGGAGTAAAAAGAAACTAAATTCCTCCAGAAATATAAGACACTTTTAGTAAATGAGATGTAAAAGGCGCCATAATCAATGTGTGAGGAGTATTAAAACAAATCTATAACATGCCTGGTCCTCCTATATTATAACATTACCTGACATAGCACTGAAATATGTTTTTTTCCCCTAATAACCAATAACACTGTTGTTATTTCAACCAGATTAATTTCAACTTTAGTTTGCATTCACACTTGTTCTGTCTGCTCCTGGTTTGAGGCCAGTTTAATCCTGACTTGGTTTGGTCCAGTTATAGTTCTGGTTTTATTACTGGTCCAGGTGTAGTTTGTGGTTTTGTGCTGGTTTAGTCACAATCTTGATATGATGTATGTATGTGCAATAGACCTTATAAAGCAGGGATGTCAAGCTCAGATTCACAGAGGCCAAAATTAAAAACTGGGATTAAGTCGTGGGACAAACAAAATATTTATTGAAAAATTTCAACAACATCTCCATGTTTTCTCTTCTTTCGAGATATGTAACATTAAACCTTTTCTTATTAAAATAAATATTTAATAATAGTTTTGCTTAAACATTGAATCCAGAACAAACATAATATAAAATAATAACAACATTTTAAATTAATAATGTCTCTATAGCCTATCTATAGCCGACTGTCAGCTCTAATATATATTTTATATGATCTCATGGGCCATATATAATTATATCGCGGGCCAAATTTGGCCCCTGGGCCTGAGTTTGACTTGTCTGCACTATAGTATAACATTACTACAGCACATCACCTGACATAGCACTGAAATATATGTTGTTGTTTTTTTTCCCCCATAATAACTAATAACACTATTGCTACTTCAGCCAGATTAACTTGACACTGAAATATGTTTTTTTCCCCTAATAACCAATAACACTGTTGTTATTTCAACCAGATTAATTTCAACTTTAGTTTGCATTCACACTTCTGTCTGGTCCTGGTTTGAGCCCAGTTTAATCCTGAGTCCAGGTGTAGTTTATGGTTTTGTCCTGGTTTAATCATAATTTGGATATGATGTAAATGCAATGGACCTTATAAAGCATTATGGTTTGAAAAACTCTTAGTGCTACTAACAGAATTTCCTAGAAGAGGAGATACTGAGACCTTCCTGGCTAGTAAAGGCTAAATAAATACAATTTAAAACATTGCTATTAATATCTCTTTTAATATTGCTATTACTGCACCATGTAATGGCAAAAAAATACTTCTAATGTCCATCTTATAAAACAAATCTTAAAGTATAAAATATAATTGGTTCTAATCTATAAAAAGTATTGAGTTACATACATGTGAACATATCCAGTTACTGCTTTCCATGTCTGATTATAACTGGCGTGTAAATATACGCTTGCTAAATGTTTGACCACTTGCCGCTGTAGCAGTTGCCGAACCTCCCTCCGTTTTACGAGCGGTCTATAAATATCTAAACGAATACTTTTATGAGTAACTTATCCTTTGTCGTCCTTTTGAACACGCTATTTCAGGGGCGAGGACAACTGGGCGCCATATTGGATCGGCCTGAGGGTCACTGACAGCTGAAAGATATTCTGGAAAATCATGCATCTCTCATTCGCAGTATAAGGACTGAGATATTTGAGTGATCAGCATGCAGTAGCAACCACGCTGGGCTAACCGCAAAATGAGCTCTCAACACCAGTGGATTAAGGCGGGTTAATTCCTCGTTCATCACAGTGGCAGCAAAACAAAGTCAGCGTTTTCTCACTCGCCAAAGCATAAGAGCGTGATTTGTGTTCAATAAAGTTTGACAGGGGAATTTAAAGGGAAAAAAGACTCACTGGTCATATTATTAGGTACACTTGTTTTAATGATCATAGTTACCGATTTTATGGTTTTAGGACTACCACTACTTAGGCCAATCAATTATACATATATGACAAAATATAAATTCTATTAAATAAAAACCCTGACAATGTACTGAAAGTCTCTCCCTGCTCTTCACCCCCTTCCACACTGCCTGCTAACTACCCTGTGTAATAAAGCTCCCCTTTCTATTAAAGTCTACAAACCAAAACTGTAAAACTTAAGAAAGTTGGTGTTCATTTAAAGGTAACATAATTAGTGCTACTACTACTACTACTACTACTACTTCTTCTTAATGCCATGGTATATTACTTTTTAGCCAAAAAGTGAGAGATGTTTTATTCGTCCTAGGGGGGGCATGACAGAAAATAATTGAGAAGCACTTTACTGTAAGTGAACTTGCATCTTCACAAACCTGACTCTTATTTGTTCCGCCTACTGCTTGTTTCCATGGAAATGTTATTTCTTTTGGCAATAATTTTCCACAGTATGGCATAAAACGTATCCATGTTATTATCCTCCAGGGATAATGTTCTGAAATGTGGAACTAACTTTCTAACTTTCTATTTCCATTGAATCATGTAAATGATGTGCCACCACCACTACTTTAAGTTATAATACAAATCTTATATGGTGATACCCAAGAAAAAAAAAAGTGAGTTCCCTTTTCAAATAAGCTTGTTTCTTTTTCTGTCTGTTCAGATTTGGAGATAGACCTGGGGAAGAAGGTTAGCGCGCCCAAAGACATCATGCTGGAGGAGCTCTCCCTGGCTTCAAACCGAGGCTCCAGACTGTTCAAGATGAGACAGAGACGATCTGAGAAATACACCTTTGAAAGCATCCAGAATACCACCAACATAGAGCTCAATGTAAGCACACAGCACTGGACGATAATACAAAACAAACATACTAACATAGACTGTGTGAAAGGGGATATTGTTATACTGGCCTGGTTTTCAAAAACATATTGTGTTAAAGCAGCACTATATAACTCTTAGGGTCAGAGTTGCCTTGACATTAAACCTACAGTATCTATCTCCATGGAGGCAAGCAGATGATGCCTCTATAAAGTCAAGATGATCAAGATGATAAATGTGGAGGCAAGACTTTCCACAGGTATCAGATCTGTGGAGAGGCAAGCCTGCTCACTGTAAGAATGCATATTTTTCTATGTGTTTTGGAGCAATACAAACTCATGCCAATGAGTAAAGGAAAGATAGAGGCAAGTTTAATACCATATTGTGGAACATTCCAGGTAAAAGCAATAACATTATGGAGACAAGCAGGTGTCCGACTCTCCACCAGATAAGTTATATAGTGCACTTTAAGACAATAAATGTCAGTAAAAAAGTTAGTTGTAACGACACGATGAAGTAGGTTATCTTAAACAAGGATTCGCTTTTTTTTTTAACATAAAAGAATACATCTCTTATATCCCCATAAACTGTAAAAGCAACACTTTGAGATGATACACAGTTTAACAACTTACCTATAGTTTGAAGGTATACCCTTCAAAAGGTTTAAGGTTAAATATAACATCGTGATTCCTCTCTCATTCTATATTCTCAAAAGCACACTTCATAAATAACTTTAGTTTGATTGACGGGAAAGTCATCCATCTCCACTCTGTCCCCTCAAAAGCCCTTGTACGGTGGTGCACTTCCTGACTGCACATTTGAGAGAAAGATTAAGTACTTGCAGTATTTATTTGACTCATGCTGTGGGCCCAGGCACGAGGGAAGGACTGTGTAGTTGTGTTAGCCATAAGTACTTTATTATGAATGTCCCTTTGTGGTCCTGGTTGGATCTGTGCCAAGCCAATAGTTTTCTCTTCCCAGCAGCGCTTATCTTAATCTGACCCAGTAACACATAGGAAATAAATTATATACTCCAGCACTTAGTTAAATCGAATCAAGATGGACTAACCAAGTTTCAAAATTAATTATCTGCACTAGTTACTGTAGATATCAGTGAAGGTTTTACTGGCCGTTCTGCCAGGGTTAAGGAAGATAAAAGCTTTACAACATTCTTAATATTATGTTATAATTTTAAAAGTAGAGCTGCTGGCACCATTTAACTATCAGAGATTCACAAGAATAGCCAAACTCATAATACACAGATGTTGAGCCATATTGTTATTAGCTTTGGTTTAGCTCTATGAACTTGCCATATTAATCTTATGTTCTGAAGTCCTTTTAACTCACATGTTTGGGGTTGAATAATGGCATAAATTTTTTATAGTAAAAATCATTTCACCTCAAGACAGTGGACTTTTTGTTCAATTCTGGGCTGATATTTTAAACTATAGTAGGGTTGCAGTAATGTTTTGTCCTGACTTTTAACATAAACAAAATGCATATATATTTTTTTACTATTTCTCATAGTTTCCCCCTGTTTTTATTTTAGTCTTCTCCATTACATAAACCAAATTATTATGTCACAAATCTACCCAATACAATACTACTGACTAGGAAATTAACGATATCCAAAACTCATGGTACGGTATTGTTATGATATGCATCTGATAGTACGATATTTATTGCGATCTTTTGGAGAAGCTATTAGAAGTGTGGGTAGGATACTTCTTGTTTTTGAAATATCTTGACAAGACTTTGGTGCGAATCATTACTGTCATAATCTCAAGAATTAAAGTAAAAAACATGTTTCTTTGTGTTTTGTGTGCTGAAATGAATCAAGTAGAATCCATTTTTTTAACTGTTGCTACTATAAAACAAGGCATTTAAACAAAGGAACTTGTAATTCGATATATTCGATATGTGACAGCCCACGATATTATTGTGAGCCCTTTGACGATACAATATCACGATATTTCAGTTATTGCTACACCCTTACTCCCTACTACTGACCACACTGTTATTACATGTAGCCTTTTCTTTTAATGCGGTGCAGCTCCACATGCTTGTTTCCCTTTGAAGTGAGCCTCTCATATCTTTGTTTATGGCTCAGGGCTGCACAGACTCATTTTGTTTCAAGTTGTCAACATTTCCTGAGGAAGTCCTAAAGTAAATCATCATAAATATCTGACCATGTGGTGGGATGAGTGGGATACCTCAGCTGCACACACTGTCCTGTCCTCAGACACAAAGATTCTAGTGTTAAATAGTGCACAATAATGGATTCTCTGTGCGCTTGTTGTTGGTAAATGCAAATGAGATAAGATAAACGCCCCCTCAAGAGATACCGTCCTTGGAATTTTTCATGTAAAGAAAATAGAAAACAATCTCATAAGACATTGGTAACATTTTGAATATTTTCTATGTAAAAGTTGTAATTTATTTTTATTTTTTTTATATATAGTTGTATTTGGTGTGGTTTGTTGAGAATGAAAACACTCTTTTGTTTGCATAGAGAGGGGAAAGCATTTAAAGGTGCATTGTGTAACCTTTCAGGTGTGGGTTCTGTCAAATTTTCTACATGGAGACATTATTGCTTTCTCTGGAATGTTTCACGAGATAGTATTAAACTCGTTTACCATAATAAAGCTCAAACCAAGCTACAGGTCATGTTTGTGAAGAGGCAACCCCTCTGACTGTAAGAATGCCTGTTCTTCTAGGTGTTTTTGAGCTTTAAAAAAATAAAATAAATAAATACATGTCATTTAATAAATGTACGGTAGAGCTGTTTAATGTCATACTGTGGAAAATTCCAGGCAGAGCAATGACATATTTATAGAAACAAGCAGGTGATGGACCCCCAACCATAAGTTACATAGTGTACCTGAAAACAAAATCAACACATGTAAACAGAAGAATTAAATGCAATGATATTTAGTAAGAAAATATAATATTCTAAACTTTTGATTCATGAAAGTAGCCACCTTTGGCAATTAATCAATCAATCAAACTTTATTTCTATAGCACCTTCCAACAACCAAAGCCGACCAAAGTGCTGTACAACATTAAAACAAGATAAAAAACAATAAACATCATACAAATAGGTCAACAAAGGCAGATATAACAGCTGAACACACTCATGGCTTGTTCTTTTTAAAATAGAATTTTTGCTGTTTTCAAGCTCACCATCTTTTTTTTTTTTTTTTCCTGAGGTAGTTTTGGCAGAGCTTGGCTTGTGTTTTGTTATCTTTTATCTTTTTTTAACCTCTGACTGTTCAGTTCTTACCTTTGTACTATTTCAAGCTCTTGAATGGCTTGAATTGCAATAAATAACTGGAAAAACTATGGTGTTCTAAAACTTTTCACCGGTAGTGTACAAGAAAACATCTCACCTTGTAAACTGCTACATATTAATATTACTACTACTTACGACAACAACTACTACACTCTATTGTTAGATCCTTTTTATGGTAGTTTTATCCTGTGGCACTTTCTTTAGCATTTCATATCAATGTGCTAAATGATCCTGCACCCCATTAACAGCCTGAATTGCTCAGAGCCATTTAAAATCACAGTTCATAGATGATTAGTATGACTGTATTCACTTATGTCATATATTGTGTTCCTTTTAGAGCACAGCCATTTCTCAGACTGTGGAAGAACAAACTTCAGAGATACAAAGCAGTGAGACCAACTGCGCTGAAGACGACTCCACGGCCACAAGAACTGCCCCAGACCCAGAAACCATTGCCCCAGGTGGGTACATAAGTCATATCCACAGTTCTGGGAAATTCTGTGGGACAGCCTGGTGACCGCTCCCTCTACCACGAGGGAACTAATCTCATTCATCAGTGACGCATGCGAAACCAAGGGAACTTTTTTGTTACACTTACATAATCTGCCATGTTTATTTTAATTCGGACAAACAATACATTTCTCTGATTGACTAATTTGCCTGTCACTAATGCTTATCCATATAGCAGTGTGTTGTTTGGCAGGCCTGCCTTAGTCCAGTATCACTGAAACTTAAATTGTATAGTTTTTTTCTTAGAGGGTTTATTTTTATTGTGTAAAATTATTAGCAGAGGTGAGTAGTACTAAGTTACATTATTTCAAGTGATGATTTAATGAATTGGTACTTTTCTAGTAACACATTTTTACTCTTACTTGAGTAATATATTTTTCAACATAATGGTCTCTTACTTACTTCCTACTGTGAGCAAGTCTTCAAATCACAAAAGCTGTGTATTGACTATATGAAATGATTTGAACATTTGTGATTCTTGCACTGCTTCTTCAGATATAATGTAGTTTTACTCCATTTTATTGTGAGTCCATCCTTTGGAAATACCAGATTTTAGGCATCATTTAATACAGTATTTCCCAAACTTTTTTTCTGGGGACTGGTATTTTAAAAGTCACAAACCTTCACGACCCAAGTCAATAGACATTATTCATCATTATTGAACATTGATGAGGATATTTTATTGTTGACTGAGTGACCATGTCTCTCTGAACAATTAGTTTTACTCAAGTTTTAAACAATGAAAAACAGTCATTGAACTAGCAATAAAAAGGATCCATAAGTCGCCTATTTGGACATTAAATGTAGCCCTTTTTTTTTTCTTTTCAACATTCAACTAACCTACATGCAGATCGTGACAAGACAACCCAAAAAAATCTCTTGCGACCCACCTGATTTTCATGACCCATTCTTTGGGAAACACTGATTTAATATATTGTCAAATGACTTTGACTTCGAATTTTAAATCAGATTTAATTATCAGATTTAATGCCCAGATATTTACTCTTTAAATTACTCTTATACATGAATAATGGATTAATATTATCTGATTATTAGTTGCCTTTAATCATAATAATTATAAAGCTGTATTTCTTCTGAGACCAAACTTTATTTTTACATTTCCATATATTCTGTTTTATGTTTTTTCCATCTACACAGTGTTTGATAAATTTATAGTGACACTGCGTATATGCCCTCTTCACCACCGCAAATCTGCCAGGCTTTGATAAGATTCAATTGTTTCTTATTGTTCCCACACAAGCTTTGATCATAGACCCCAACAGTGTTTTGTTTTTGTTTTTTTGGTTTGGAGGCTAAAGATATTTTCCATACTTTTCATCATCTTACTCCCAGCTGTAAATCCTCCCACCTTTGCACAATCAGCTGTGACCATCGCTTTTCAGTAAACAGTTTGTTTTTACCCGAGAGAGGAACTTCCTGCTTGATACCATCGATTTCCTGTCTCATATCTTTGGCTGGTACAGAAGCCTGTGACTGTGATCTAGACCTGTCTTCTTCATAAGGGATGGGGTTATTTCTGGAGACGAAGCGTAACTATATGTAACTGTGATGTCACTACTCCAGGGTGAGGTCAGACTGGGATCAAATTCCAGTAACCCAAAGTCTAAATATACTTTTCGAATGTATATGACTGAGCATTTGTGGTATGTCAAAATATGTCTGGAAACTGCTGACCTAAAAATGGCCTTCTTATGATGTGTTCACAGTACTTTTTTTATGTCCGTAAAATCAATAAATAGAAAAAAGAGAGAATTGGACTGAGGAGAAACTACTAGTATTGCTTCAGTTTTGGAAATGTATAAAAAATTCAATCCTTTTGGAAAAATATTGCAATTGTAATGGAAGAAGTGTTTGGCTATAAAATACCCAATGACCCATGGGTTATGTATTTGGGCTTGCTGCATGAAAACAAAATTCAAACTGAGGACTTATATTTGTTTAAAGTGATGCTCTTGGCTAGTAAGAAAGCAATAACAAGGAACTGGCTGAAGGATGACCCTTTTAAAATTACAGCAATGGACAGATATAATGGAGGAAATATATGGAATGGAAAAAATAGCCTATTATTTGAGACCGAAAGCTGGTAAATTTGAAAAGCGATGGTCCAAATGGTCTATTTACAAAGCTCACTCGAATGTATGAGGTTTTTTATTTATAAATTTTTTTTTGTAGAACTCCAGAGATAGTTAGATCTTGTATGTACATTTGTTAATATTTTGAAAAAGCACAAATAAAAAGTAAAAAAAAGAAAAAAGAAAAGTATTGCTTTAAAATATGATTAGTCAACAAGAACAACTGACAAATGAAAAATCACAGTTCCTGTCTTTTATTACTACTGCTGCAACTTTATACTTCCAATAGCCGTCTTATATATTTACTATTCTAACTAAATTCCTACTCCTATGGCAGCTTTGAAGGAATATTATGTAGCTTTTCTGCTTGTTTGCTTAGAGTTGTTATTGCTTTACTAGGAATATTCCACAATTTAGATTAAACAGTCTTGTAGAGAGAGTGAGATTGTTTAATGCTATGCTGTGGAACATTCCAGACAAACCAATAACTTCACTTCACTTTATACAATTTCTATTTTTATTTTACTTACTGTTTTGTACTTCATGACCACTGGTGCATTCTAAAATTCTCATTCACCAGATAAATATTTATTAAAAACAATGGAATTTTATTAGGTTGTATCACTGATTCTTTCCTAAGACCCAGTCCACGTCCCTGTTTGGTCTGAGCTGCTTCCTTCTTGGTCAGGGCAGAGCGTAAACTCAGGAAGAGGAGGAGAGGGGGATTGTTCATTGTGAGAGATGGGGACGTGACTCTCCGTGGCTCTTACGTAAGGCTAGGGGCTTGTGAGGACCCCCACGGAGCAGCGCCGCGTTGAGTGATCGTACATTGGATTGGCCTCTCCCAAACACACACACGACTGCAAATCTGGCAATAAACGCAAACAGACATGGCAAGCCAATAGACAAGCTGGGTGGATGCCCTTTACATTGTTTTTGTGTGAGCCAAAATGATATTATCCACTATTATGAGATTAAGAAAAGCGTTAAAAGAAGGATTATGAAGTGTCTGCCATTGTGACTTGGTGTCATAGAAGAAGAAAGTGGTTGAAAGTGTTTAATTAAATAAAACTAATACACAGAAGCAGAACAAAAACTGTAATAAACTAAAGGGCAGTAAAAATACACATTTATAGGGGGAAAAATTGTATGTAAACAGTGTGTAAATATGTGAAGGATGGCCATTACTCATCGTAAATGACATGTGTTTCCAGGTTATGGTGGTCCCATGAAAGACCTCCCTCCTGAAAAGTTCAACAGCACTGCCATCCCAAAGTCTTACCACTCTCCATGGCACCAGGCCATCGTCAGTGACCCTGCTCTGGCTGATACACTCACCACCCGCATGCCCGACCCCGAACAGCAGCCTGATAGACCTGTGTACAAGTGTTTCAACAGGTAAATAATTCATAGAACTAAAATCTACTTTTAGGCGCTTTTAACATTGGTGTAATGGTTTCCCCGGTTAATGAAACAGACTATTTTCATTAATTCGTACATTTGAGTTTCAGTTTTGGTCTGACTGCTTAAAAAATTACAGTTTTCACATACACTCTTCCCCATCCACTGCCTTTGTTGGTGTTTCCGTAAATATTCTGACTCTTAGGCATTGGATTAAAATGTTGCACTGCTATTTCCAAAAACTAATAATGAGCTAATAAATGCTTTTTCTATAGTTAAATTGTAAAGCAAACCCATTTTGGAACATGCAGTCTTTGAAAAGCTTTGTCATTTAGAAAGTTCTTAGGGTTCTATTCTGTCTCGAATTGCAAAAAAAAGTAGTTTTAGTCCAAGTTACATCATAATATTTCCTATGATTGCAAGATAACATCATCAATGCCATGCTCTTGTTTCCTCCAGGGTGGCGACTCCATTCGGCGGCTTTGCCAGGACGTCCAGCCCGGTGCCCCCTCCTGCCCGTTCGCTCCCAGTGGACGTGGCCCTTCCAGACTTCCCTGAGCTCCAGGCCCAGACCGCCGCCGCCGCCACTGCGCCTCTCGACAGACCCTCCTTCAACAGAGCCGCGTCAGGGTGGGTGTCGTCCAACCAAGGCCCCGCCCCCATCATCAACTTATCCCAGCCGGACTTCATCCCCGAGTCCGACGACCTATGAACTTCTGATGTCACAAATCTGGTTACAGTTGTACAGAGTAAACCTCCACAATGCATTTGACAATATCATTTTTAATTCAAAACTGGATTACTTGTACATAGATGTGCATATCATCATCAAACATCTTTGTCAAATAGAATAATGATTTTGTTTGTTTTGGGGCGGTAACGTGTTTGTTTGTGAATAATAATGGAACACAGCAACAAAAATGCTAATTATTCCAGTTAAATTGTACAGGAAAAAGCCATACAGCAATATTTCCTTTTTAAGATGATTACATACATACATTCAATATTAGACATGATGGTGTTGTTTGGTTAATCACTGCTCATTTATAACAGTGGCAGCAAATATGTATAGAAAACATGGGTACTGTCATGTAATCTAACCAATGAAAGTATAATTGTCACTGTGTAGTTATTTGGATAAACATGATAATTGGTTGAATTAAAATATTATTTATGATTGTAGATTGACAACTTAAATGCCTTGATGGATGTCTCTTTATTTTCAGACTGGTTCAACTTATTTTTTGGAAAGACAAGTTTATTTGTACAGAAGTAATTCAACGTGCTTTACAGAACAAGAATACATTCAAATCACAATATAAACAAATAAAAATATAAATAAGTATAAATAAATAATATCGTAATATAAATATAAATAAATCATATCATGAAAAAGTTCAGTTCTGAAAAGTTCTTTCAGTCAATATAAGCCTTTAAAGGGCCTATATTACATTCATTTTCTGGTCTATGTTATAATGTGTCCTCTCCAGAAACATGCCTGGAGTTGTGTTTTGTCTCATTCACACATTTAAAACACAAATTGTAAATCAAGTTTTATTTTATTTTGCAATTTTTAACATATAACAGACAGCAGCACATTAATTTGGGCTGAAGGGATAATACAATTTAAGAAGTTACCTGTATATATGCAAGTTGTACATGTAGTGAAGTGCACCAACTCCATAGCAAAAATAAATAAATTATATAATAAAACAGTCAAAGTGCATATGACAAGCCACTTTGACTTTCTAACTGCCACTTTGTTTAATCTGTTACAAATACAAATAAGTTCTACTGTGTTTAAACTCCGTACACCTTCACTAGAATCATTTGGATAATTTCAGTCCTGATATTGCCTATCACTACTAAACTAAAGGTAAAATTGGAAAACTAACACTTCATGACATCACAAGGTGGAATAGAGCATTTGGAGCTTTGGAGATTTAGACAGACTAAGAAAGGATTACTCAAACATGTATGAATTAAACAAAACACAACTCCAGTTACGTTTTTGATGAGTTCATAGCATTCTAACATGGCTTAAACCTCACAAGAGCCAATTTTGCATAATATAGGACATTTAAACATTTCGTTTAACTCCCTTTGTTCCCAGGTAATAACTTAACATCCAGCCTCATTTGTGCCAAGTGCATGCAGACCCATCACTTACTGTGTGGTGTGAGATCCATTGTAACACAGCTCAAGGTTACTGCACCTGACAAATCAAATGTTCTTCAACCACATAAGCGCCCTGACGGATGGTCCTCTCACCTTCTCCTGATATGGCCGGCCCAGAGCCCCGCGATTGATGCCGGAGTGGCTTTATAGGCGCGGGTGAGCTTCATGTGTGACTGCATATACGGTCATTAGCACAGCACATAGGCACATAGATCATACACTATAACTGGCTTTTATTGCATTGCTCTGAGAGGAATGTAGATGGGCATAGAGCGGCGGCGGCGGCAGCGGTGGTGGTGATATGGGTGCATTAAAATGAGAAGTGATGGCAGATGTGGAGAAGTATAACGCATTTGGTTCCAGGTATTAATTTGAGGTATTGTTACTTCAAAATAATAACACGTAAAAGTACTCGCTCTGTGATGGGGTTCAGTGGTAGAGCATTAGTGCAAACACAGGTTAAAGGGCTCATATTACACTACTTTTAATCTATGTTTTAATGTTGTTACCTCATCAAAAACATACCTGGAGTTGTGTTTTGTTTCATTCACACATGTTTAACAGATAACCTGAATATTCATCTTTCAAACAGATTTTGAGCTTTGGAGATAAAGTCTAATAATGCAAGATTACTCAAACATGTGTGAATTAAACAAAACACAACTCCAAGTATGTTTTTGATGAGGTAACAACATTCAAACACGGCTAAAAGCTCACAAGAGTCAATTTTGTGTAATATAGGACCTTTAATGACCTCATGTAGTTCATCTACATGGCTGATCGATATTTGGACTTTTTAGTATATCGTCTTAAATTTCCAGAACAAGCTGATATTTTGTTTTGGGGTAGATCTTCTGCCTAAAAATTGCACACAGAGCTTTATTGTAACACTTTAATATGAAAAGATAATTTCACAGACAAGCAGTTGACAAGCCTCACACCAAAAAGTTACACAGTGTACTTCAAAACAAGATAAAGTACTTCAACCATTTTTAATTGCAGTGAAATATAGTCCATAGACACTATCATATATGTAAATACTACTTTCAGTGCCACTTATTTTTACACCTTATTTTATTTCTGCACCTTTTTAATTTAAAGCTGCCTTGTGTAACTTTTCTGGTGGAGGGTTCGTCAAATGCTTTTGTTCATGCAGATGTTATTGCTGGAGTGTTTCACAGTATGGCATTAAACCTTTATCTTCATGGAGACCAAACCAGATCTGTGGTGAGGCAACCCTGCTGACAGTCAGAATGCTTTTTTTCTTGGTATTTTTAAGCTATAAAACAACCTGTAACGTAATAAATGTAAGATAGAGCTGTTTAATGTCATACTGTGGAAAAGCATTTGACGCACCCTGCACCAGAAACGTTATATAATGCACCTTTAAATATCAAAGTATTTTAATTTTCCCCTCTGTCCTGCTGAACACCGTGTCCTGTGCACCACCTCTCCCCTGTTACAATAGAGCCTTGCCAACCTCTTCTGTCAAGCTCTGCCATGAACTCTCTCTGAACTTTGATTGTAACCATTATCAAAACACACCAGCGGAAATGTTATTGGCACGGACCAGAGTGGGTGGGTCGAGGGCCGCCAGACTATTCGATTATGACTATCTAACAACCACCGGTTTCCCCTCAGGCACGTTTGACTTGGCACGGAATGGTACACTATGGACCAATAAACCCTGCGCAGTGGAAGGAAAAGGAGACACGGTCCACGCTAGAATAATTTCAATAGAATCTAAAAAATTTTTATAAAGCTCTCAAATATTTTCATCTGTGTATTGTTCGAAGGATCCGTGCCAAGTCTGGGACCACGAGTGTAGTACTGGAAGTAATAGCAGCAGTAGGAATTAATATAATGAGCAACAATACTAGGGATAGGCAAGTAGTTGTCGCAGTAGTTGTAATAGTAGTTGTTATTTTTGTTGGAGAAGTGGTGGTGGTAGTAGTAGCCAGAGGTGGGGACTTGCAAGTCGTGACCTGGACTCGAGTCAGAATTGAGTCACTATTTTTAGGACTTGAGACTTGATAAAATGGACTAAGATTTGGGACTCGACTTGGACTTAAAGGTCAGTGACTTGGGACTTATCTCGGACATGGGGTCTGTGAATTGAGAAGAACTGAGAAGCACTTTTAAATCTGAATTCTTTCTGTTCGGACAATAATGATTCACACTAAGATCTTGTGCAGACATTTAAAAAGGAAAAAATAACTAAATTAATTTCTACAACTTTTATATAAATACTCATGATTTTTTACACTACGATTTTTTTTAAGTACAATTTGGCTTAAAACTCATTTAAATTGCTAGAAACCCAAGCTAAATTTGGTTTAAAGACTTGAAATGACTTGAATCTCAAAGCAGACGACTTGGACTTGACTTGGACTTATGGACCAGTGACTCTAGACTCGACTTGGACTTGCTTGTATTTGACTCGACTTGAGGTCAAAGACTTGAGACTTACTTGAGTCTTGCAAAACAAAGACTTGGTCCCACCTCTTGTAGTAGCAGTAGCAGCAAATACAATAAGATTCACAGTACTATTTTAGCAGATAAGCAGTAACTGGCAGTAGACGTTGTAGTAACAGTGTTGTCATTTGTAGCACAGCTTGTAGTAGGGACAACGAGGTGACCAGTGAAATGTCCTATGTAAATTGTGTATTGTTTGTGCCCTGCGTTGTTCCCTTAGCATCTGGCCCTTACTGTCTTCACCCCTCCTCCCTCCCTCTCTCTCTATCTCTCTCTGTTTTTCTCCATCTTTCCTCCTCTGTGTCTCTCCCTCTCTCCTTTGTGCATTATCCCATAGTCCCATTGGCCTCCATCTGCACACTCAGCCTATAGCAGCCTTCTGTGCTGCACTGCTGACAAACCACCGCTTCAAATGTTGACCCACACGACCGCTCTCCCTCCACCCACCAAGGACTTGCACTTTGCATAAATAAAGTTGGACAGCGCATTCAAAAATGTTATTAAGGTCATGGGGGGAAAGTAATTAGTAAGTACTTTATCACGGTCAACTTTTTGTCAGATTGGGTTCAACCTTGATAATGGTAGTGTTTGAAATTGTTGTGGTTGTGTAGCAGTCAGTGCGAGTACTAATAGTAGGTGTAGTAATTGTCATTGATGGTACTTGTAGCATTGTTGTGGTGTTGTGGTTGTGGTAGTTGTAATAATGGTAGTACTCTTTTAGACAAATTGTGTCATGTTATTGTCCCTGTAGGGTAATTTGCCCTTTGCGTTTGACTCATCCTAGTGGCAGCAGTAGTAGTACTAACGGTAGTAGTAATAGTAGTAGTAATAGTAATAGTAATCGCAGAAGATTTAGTACAGATTTTTGAATGAATATTTATAGTTTAGTTGTAGTTGGATAATATTTTAATCTGTCCTCAGTTTTATTTTTTCAGTTCTAGGTGACTCTTGGTGAACTTGTGCACAACAGGTGAAATCTCTAAAAATACAGGTGAAAATCAGCCGTTCAGGAGTTCACAGGTCAGAGGTTATAAGGCAACGCTAAGCTGAGGTGAAGGCGCACTGCAGGGGACACATTCCACTCACGGAGGAAAAGAAGTGACTCAAGTCAAGTCACTCAACTCAACAATGTTACTCTAAGAAGACAATTTTAATATGCCCATAAGGTATAGAAAAGTTTTGTAGACAGGTTTTAGTACTAGCAAAAAGAAAACATACTGACATTAATATCAGCAACAGATAGTATGAGTACTTGAATTATTATAAAACTAAAGCCCACCACATTTTTTTCGAGTCTTAAACTATTTTAAATGTGAGACATGAGACAAAAATCTTACAATTCGAAAATCCAAGTGCAAAAATGGAGTTGACATGATTAAGTTAGATTCAAGAGCAAGATCACGCCTCAGCTTTCCTCTGTTTTTCTCCGGTAAACCACAGCTTGTCTCACAACTTCAGTTACCCAGAAACCCTATTTATACAGGCCTA